ACGCCGGCGTCGGGGGCATCGCGTGCTGTCCGCAGGGCGCCTCGTGCGGCGGGGGCGTGGGCGCCTGCCCGGCCGACGCCGTGAGCTGCCCGGCGGAGCTCGGCGGCGGGTGCTGCATCCCCGGGTACGTGTGCCAGGGCATGGGCTGCGTGCCGAGCGCGTCCGCCACGACGGCGACGACCACTGCGGTGGCCACGAGCACGACCCAGGCGACGACAACAGTCACCAGCACGCGCACGACGTGGGTCGACGGCGCCCCCTCGACCGTCATTGTTACGGAAATTGTCACGCTGACGTCGTCGCGCCCGCCTACGACAAAGACCACCACCGTGACCGTCACGAATACCGACACGGCCACGGAGAGCAGTACGACGGCGACGACGACGGGTGGTACGGTGACGGGCGGCGCGCCCTGGCGGCCGACGGGCGAGCCCAGTAGCAGCAGCACAACAACGACAGAGGGCGGCGAGACGTCAACGCAAGATGGCTGCCCGACGGGCTTCTATGGATGCCTGGCCACCCACGGTGGGGGTTGCTGCCAGACGGACCGCGACTGCCAGACGCGCTCGTGCCCGCCGCAGGCCTCGACCACGGTTGTTTCGGATGGCCGCACCGTCGTGGTGCCCGCGTCCGAAGTGCCGTCGACAGCCACCTCGACGTGTGCCGCGGGCTGGTTCCTATGCGGCAGCGACGCTGGTGTTCATCCGGGGTGTTGTCCTAGCGGCTACGACTGCGGCACCGCGAGCTGCTTCAGTGGGTCGGCTTCGCAGACGGGGTCGGTGCAAAAGGAGCAGCCAAAGAAAGATGGGGGAGTAGTCAAAGATACCAGCCTGCTCATGACGCTGTGTGTTGTGATGGCAGCAGTGGCTGCCTGTAATGTTATGGTGTAATGATATGGGAAAGCATGCAATGGGGGGCCAGCGTAATGACATACATACCAAGACAGGCCAGCGTAATGACATACATACCAAGACAATAGACAAATGCACATATACTTCAATGCAAAATGGAAATTGGAAATAAGTAAACCGGTCCCCACTTGGCGATGTACGTGAAGAATCACAAATGGCAAGAGTCTGGCAGAGATGAAACGCAATTGTATTATAACCCTGTGTTTGACTAACAATAGTCTATTCCCGTTACTCGGCCATCATTATCCATCCATCATTCTTGTTACCATGTCCTGTGATCCCCCCCACCCAAAACTGTTTTCCTGACTGCATTGCATCGTTTGCAGTTACATTAAGTAGACAAGGCCGGCAACAACAGTTGCAATGAAGATACCCCGAGCATCCAGGTGGCTGGCAACACTCTGAACGGGACCGTAGGTAGGAGTGTCAAACGCGGCAGACATGGTCGGCTTGTAGCTGGGGGCAGTATTGTGTACCGATGCAGTGTGCTTGCTGGTGTACTGAGGCCAGGTCCCAGTCACTTTGGTGAAATGGCTTGTGCTGGAAGTGTGCTCCATAAACTTGGTGTTGGGGGTGGTATGAGTAGAGGAGATGTAGGGAGAGCCGTACTGTTCAACGCTCATAGTAGCAACTGATGGGACCGTATGAGTCGAGGTGGTCGTGTAACTCGTGGTCGACTGAGGCCAGGTCGTGGTGTGAGTCGGGGTCGCATAAGCAACAACGGGGGGCGCACAGTCCACGGGGGTGATGTACGAGTTGCGAGCAGCACTGGCGAGGCCAGAGGCGAGGAGGCTGACGAGAATCGAGCTGGTCTGCATGGTGAAGGCTTGGTTGTTGAATAACAGAATGGTAGAAGCGGTAAGATGGAGTGATAAAGCTGTGAAGAAGCTAAGACGATGGCAAAAAGATGCGGATAATGAAGTACGAGAATGGATGTTGTAGAAAGGAAGAAGAAAAGAGATCCAGAGGGGGGCGAGCTGTTTATAAACCAGTTCTCAGCGTCCCGGTTTCCTTCTTCGTGGCCACGAGGACTTGCCAGTTGCTGGAGCCGAAGGCAAGAAGAGGCACCTTCCAACAGTCGTTCGTCCCTCCGGCAATGAGCCCCATCGGCCGCAAAACAGGCGGACAAACGCCATCATCCCTCCTCCTTCTCGGTTCACGGATTTTTATGGCACGCTCTTGCATCTCGCGTACAGAAATTGGTCATCATTAATTCGTTTCTCAGAGCTCGTAGCGGAGGAACATGAAGGGCTATGCTTGCCGTAGCTCGGCTATAAAGTTGCGCTGTGAAATCCGCCGGAAAGATGCATGCAGTGGGAAAAAGAAACAAGGAACCTCGCCGAAGGGTGGGCTGACCCAAGAAATAACAATTAAAAATAAACGCGCAGGTTTTGTAAGGAAAGAAGAAGCCTCCCATAATCAATCATCGCTCGCCCGTTATTAAAATCGTTTGCAGCCATCGCCGGCCTCCAACTTCTTTAAAACATTGACTGCATCGGCAATCAAAATACTGCGGCCACCAAACTGCTCATGCTCCAGAGCTTCGCGGGCGAGCCCAACAACGGCTTGCGCATTGCGTCGACCGGCAAGACGCTGAACTTGCACCGGTTGCATCTTCGCGGCACTCTGCAGCCACTGGAGCGCGGCCGGCCGGGAGCTTCCGTCGTTCCACGCGCCGCTTCCATCCCTTCCAACATGGCCAAACGCCCAGCAGATAAGAGCGCATACATAAATGCCCCAAAAGTCGGAAATTTCGGTGCAAGAGGACGCAATTGCAGCCGCAGTTCCCGTATCGTCCGATCCGAGGCCGAGGAACGCAACCAAAGCTCGAGCAGCAAACGCCGCAGCGGCTGCCGAGCTTCCAGAATCGCGCCATCTGGACAGCTGGTCCTGGTGTTCTGCAAACGCCGACAGACGAAGAATTTTCGAGTTGAACACCCAGCTATCGCCCGAGACGGAGAGGGCGATATGCAGGGGAGTGAAGTGAAGGGCCAGATAAGTGTTAGCGACAGCTGAGTGCGTAAATAAATTGAGGACGTTGTTGTTGCTCATGTCGACTCCAGAAAGGTCCTGAATCAAATCAAGGCGCGTTGAACTACGCTGAGAGGGGAACTGAAGAGAATATGCCGCAAGAAGCACAGACGCATCAAAGGGCGAAGATTTTTGCATGTCCAGCGGCTTGTAACCCTGAGTAATTGCCAGGCCCACGTTCAATCGTGGACACTGAGGGTTCAGCTTGGACCACGATTCCGGAGTGGCGGCGTCCCAAAGCTTGGTGGTGTTGGCGCTCAGAGGAATTACCAACCTGCTGGGCGAAGAATAGTCCAGGCCCGTAACAGACACGGAAGGACGTTCAAAGTAGCGCATGCAATGGACGTCGAGCAGGAAGCAGGAAGCAAGCAGCCGTCGATGCGCTTCGTCTTCGACCCACGCCTCCCATGTTTCCGGTCGACCAAAGAGACTAGCTTTTGAGAGCATCGTGACCTTGTGATTAGCCTATTTGTTGGTTAGCCCAGCACCAAGCGAAAGATATTGTCTGCACTGTACCTTTTCGTATAAACTTCTAAATAGATCAGACGCTTGGAACGCATCTTTGTCCCGCCCCCGGAAGCGCATGTAATACTCCGAGAGTAGTATAGCCTGCATGGTTTCAATTGGCCATGAATCGGTGTTAGAAGCCTAACATCTGTTAGTAAGTCAGTTCACTATACAAAGCCCGCATCACTGACCACCTTGAGTTTGCAGACCGCATGGAAGTGAAGTTGGCTTCCGTTGCTTCTGTGATCCTCGTGCCCGAGAAACTGTGTCGCGACTGCCGCCATCGCGCATTGCAGAATATCTATCGCTTCCGATGCGTTCTCGATCGCCTTTTCAAATATAGATCGATGGATAATCGGGTACATGGGGTGCACTTTGTTCCAGTACACTTCGAGGTAAACTGGCACAGCCTCACGAACACTCTGGCTCAGTGCTAAAACCGGCATACTTTGTATTGCGAAATGGTCAACAAATGTCATGCCAGTGGGGGACATAGAAAGACGCGGCTCCATCATTCGATCTTGGAAAATTGCCGGTTGTACAGCCATGAGAACATCTGTCGATCTACCTCCACCAAAAGGCATAGGTAGAGTTCGAATGGCCGGACTTGTGAATAGAGACTTGCCAGTTTTCATGGATGCCTCCTCGTAGCCGGACATTGGTAGTGCGGAGTCCATGCTATGTTTGAGCAGATCAAAGCCAGTAGAGGAAGCAGAAAAATCGAAACCAAAGCTGGAAGCTGTGAGCCCTTCCGGTTTGAGCTGCAAGCGTGGTGATACAGAGAACTGTTCGCCGGCAAGATTCCAGTCGGTGCTAGAAGATTTCGCGTGCTTATTTCGCTCGTTAGAGCTGTCGGATGGCGAAGAATACGTGCTTCCGGTTACAGAAGACGGCATACCTGTACTGTTAGATTGATCGCCATCGGACATATAGAAGTCATAGCCAGTCTCTGGTGTCTTGTGATCAACACTCTCGTGGCTACGATCATTGGGCGAAGACGCCCCTTGCGATCGGGTGGTAGAGTCGGCGGAATAGCGACTTTGAGGGCTCTGTGCATAGTATTGCTGAGGGCTGGCTGAGATGCGAGGCGGCGGCAGTGTGTGGCCGAAAGGTCGACTAGCAGAGCTCCAGGTGCTGTGTCCAGATGTTTCATGTCTGGGTGTGCTTGAAATGGGACTATGGGACGAACTTGATGCGCCATATGATCCCATTTGCATTGTTCGGGGTGGTGATGAGCTGCTAAAGCTATGCCCTTGTCGTCGAGGGGAAGAGCCGTGAAGCCGCGGGTCCTCTGATGCTAGCCGCTCATCTTGCTCATGGCGCTGCTGATGCCTTTCAAGCAAGTCTTTACGATGGAAGACTTTATTGCAGCCCGCAACGGTACAAGCCAAGTCGGGCGGTTGGTGGCTGAGTTGGTGTCGTCTCAGATGCTCGGCACGGGTAAACGTTTTTGAAGGATTGCACATGTCGCACGTATGCACCGGAACTCCCTTCTTAGCTCGACTCACTCTTCCAGTGATCGGGGTCAGCTTGACGCCAGCCTCGCTCATTGCGCTGCCCGGCATCATTGGGCGCATGTCATGACCGGTCCCATACGGCGGTTGGCCATGTGAATAGGAATAGCCCAATGGTTCATTGCTCCCGCTTCCCCGACGAGGGTGAGGCGCGGATAGGTGCTGCTGAAGATGGCGATGCCCAGCGGACTCGGAATTGTGCGAGTAGGTGCTGTGTGGAGAGGCGCCTCGAGAGTAGTCGGATGGTGATGTGTGGTTATGTAGGGATAGGTCAGTCGAGGCAGGATAGCTCGAACTGGGTAGCGGAGAGGAATGGGGAACCTGTCGGGACGACGAGCTGCGAGGCTGAGAGTCGTCGTCGACACTATTCATAATATTTCTGAGGCTAGCCATGGTGAGGGAGCCACAGAGTGCAATCTCGAGAACCCAAGACGGCAACAGCCAGGTGAGGAGAGCAGCTACCAACAGCGACTTGTATTGGGCAAAGCGCAAATTTTCGCAGTAAACGTATTTTCCTTGTATGTGTGGTAGCAGTTACAGAAAAGTGACGTTCTTGTCTGGATGACAAGAAAATAGTGAAGCGTTGGTTGGTCTGTCAGGCAAATAGGGCGGCTCGTGCCAAAACAGCGTTGGTTGCACAGTACTTGGGTCAGCCGCGTGTTAGTAGCAGAAGTGGTGGCAGGGCAGGCTCGTCGGGTACGAGTGCCATCCGAGGGGCAATATCGAGGGGAAATATGAAGCAGAAGCCTCCGACGTGTCCAAGAATGACAATGAGCGGGTGAAAAGGAAGTTATTCCAGGCCGAGTACGCAAGGAGGAGGAAGAGTTGCTGTGTTAGCAATTCACAGCGAAGGCGTATGGAACCGCCGCGACCCACGTCCCATTCGGACCATATTGGCGGGAGCTGAGGCAAGGGCTCCATGTACAGGATACATCGGCGGCGCCAGGCAAACCCCAGAAAGGCTTGGGCGTGGTCGCGTTTTGACGTATTGAGAGCGTCAGCGCTGGTAGCCACAATGGGCACGGCGGGCAGCGGGGTGCGGGTACACGGCGGCGCAGTGCGCGGGACAGCCAGCCAACGAACATGGCTGTGTACCAGTGACAAAAGTCGAGGAAGATGCAGGGATGGCTTTGGCAAAGCTGGGTGGGGGAAGAAGCACCGTGGACACGAAACACCCCCAAAGGACCAGGGTGAGAGGGTGAGAGAAGAAGCTGGTGTGGTGTGGCGGGAGTGGACTTTACCAAAGCTGGAAGCCTCGTCTGAAGAGCCCACCACGTGTTGACTACCAGTAACTAGCCCTACCAACAAGGTTATCAAGACCATGGGCGGCGAGAACGGGAGCCCGCAGATGGAGCATGACGTTGTCATGGGCTGGAGGGAGCGGGCGGAAGTCGTGGACAGCGGCGTATGTAGGGGAGGGGCGTGATGCCTCCATGTCGAGAGTTAACTAGTTATCGCAGACGAGACTCGAGAGGGAGGACCTTGCCGCGCGCTGGGCGCACACCCAGCCATGCTGGGCTGGGGCTTAGTTGACTACCTAGGAAAGTGGGCAAAACCCGCAATCGCGCTGCGAGTTTGACGTGGTGGTGGTGGTTGTCGTGGTAGGTTGGCTGGTTCGGCTGGCCCAGCCTCACCAGCCGGATTGTGTCCGGGCGGACTTGGCTGGTTTGCTAGCAGCGGGAGAAGTAGTCGCGGCAACAACCCAAAAGAGACAGTGTGGGCTCGTCATGTGTGAGGATAGTGAGCGCAGCTGGTGTCCAAGAGCTGAGAGGGGCGCTGTGAGTGCGACGAGTCTGGCGCGCGCTATGTATTCCAGAGCCTGGACGACGAGTCAGACTGGTGCAGAAACAAGTGCCATGGAGCTACACCAGAGTCAGTACAGTACTACCTACCTTGTACAAATTACCTAGTAACTATTAGGTAGGTAGGGATGGGAGCGCCAAACTTGCAATCACACTACGATTGTTGGTCGGCCATCGGCAACCCTGCGAACGGGTCAAGACTGTGGGTTCTGCATGTTTGAATGCATCATCCCTGCGGCGAAGACTGCGACGAGTGGCTGGCGGGGCTCTGAAGAAATGCATCGAGTTATTCGTAACAATGTGTCTGGCCGGCTCTATGCGTTCTGGTAGCCTCTTGGTCTGATGTTGTCTGATGTAGTGCCGTGGCCCATGTTGCGGATCTCACTTCCCAGTTGGGTACGCATGGCCGCGAAGATCTCAAAGAGCGTGGATCATATAACTAGGGACTATCGCTGATGATCCCCGTGATAACAGGAGGCTGCGCCGGAGACGCACTACTACTCGGGGTCGGGCTGAGAGATGGCAGTGTATGTACGATTGAGGATGAGAGAAGCTGTAGGTTGAATGGCGGATGGACAAACGCAAACGCAAACGAAGTTATTCAGGCCTGCAAGTGCCAGCTGCCGCCAGAACAATAGAGACAGCTGGCAGTACCTATGTACCTACTAATTTATTAAAGGTAGCTCGCGGCAGGCAAAGCATTCGCTGGCTACATTGCCGAATCTAGTAAAATCGCCCGCGCTGTGCTAGCAAACGAGCAGAAGTTCGCACTGACTCCCGTGGCTCTGCATCAGAAACAAACATGCGCACACAGACAATGGCGTCGCTCGAGGTGGAAGAACTCCACCAACCAGTACGGACTAATAATGTTAGGTCCCCAGCTGCAATGGAAGCTAAGAATGGAGCTGAAATATTGTCGAGGCACTGCACTGAGGAAATGGTGTCGTATTGGTCGTGTAACAAAGGGGCCAAAATATGGTAGCTCAGCAGGTAATACTGGCGATCAGCATGTAACAAGGTTGACCAAACTTCCGGGACGGTGCAAGATTACAGAGGTTTTCCAACATAACACAACAGCTGCATGGTGGTACAAATGACGTTTCGATGTTGAAAATCAACAACTCGACACAGAGGATAGCGGCGTGCATACGGTTGTCAACCCAGGTAGCTCGCATTCTATGATTCTAGGGGCCTTCGCACATTAAGAACTCCTAGGGCAGGCAAGCAGGCAATTTTCTGGGTCTTGCCCTGCACTTGGCAAAGAATTAACGATTAACAAATGAAAAAGTCTAGCAGACGAAGCGGAACAAGGGATCCTCGGCGACAACGGCTTGCTGTGGAGGCGTGGAGGCCATGGCTGACAAGGCTCTCAGCCCACTCCAGACGACATTTAGTTTCACCATTTCAACACCACTGCTGCCGGTTGGTTCGCATATCCAGATGGACACAAAGAGCGTTGCCTCGCCCTTTCTAACTACCTAGCGTCGAAACGGTCTCACTGATGGGCCATGCTCGGCTTGTCTTGTCCTCTCCACTGGGGGCCTTAACGGCCTGCCTAACTTGACCAGCACTGGCGCCCGCTCCCTCATGCGAGCCCTCCCTCCCTGCTTCCCTCGTCAAGCCACCCTCGTCAACCGTTTCAACTTTGGCTTGCTTGCCAAGAGGCCGCGGCCTGGATCCCGCACTCTCCATCCATCACACATTTTACACCGCTAACCCCCAACACTTGAGCACCACAGTTAACCGGCCTTGTCATGACCAGCGTGATTATCCGTCAATGGCGTGCTGACCTCGCTGTCGTTAACTAGTTGATGCCACGATGCCACGACGACATGGTATAGCAAACACTGCACCACCACACCTTATCAACCCTTGACCAACTCGATGCCCCAACCAGATGTTATCCTTTGGCCCTCGGGACAAATGCAAGTCAGAGATCGGCAGCCGAATCAAGATGAAGCACGCAGCGACCAGCACGCATAAGCCCGTCGCCCCCAAAGCTTTGTCCTGGCCTGCTCCCGTCTGCCCTGGTCGCGCCTTGTTCTGCTGCTCTACAAATTACTCTGAACTGCAACGTACCCCTCAGCTCTTCAGCCGTTCCGCTGTTCGTTTTTATTGCGGGGGCCACAGCATCCCTCCCTCCGAGGCTCTACTGGTACGGCGCCCTTCCCTTCCGGCGGAGCCACAGCTTCTAACTACCTAGTTACTCCGTACGTAGGTAGTTACCAACAACCGAGTCGCTCCCTCGTTCACAAACATAATACCTCAGGCCCGCGCGCTCCGTACGAGTCGCTCTTCTGCTCGCCAAACTGCCCGAATCGGTTTTCCGTCACAGACTACTGGTGCGACGGCGCTGACCGCCACTCTTGCTGCTCCAACGACCTGGTCCGCTCTCATGGAGCTCATTTGACTGCTGTTCGCTGCAACTTGCCGACCTTTAATTTTGTTGGTTACACAAAAAATACGTCAGTCGCCCATTGCGGAGTTGGGGCGCCAGCAATAGTTATGCACCCGCCATGCAAGATGCAGGCGTCGCCCGGCCTGGGGGTCATCGGACATGCCAGCCTGCTTCAAAGAGAGCGCCCGTCCATGCCAGCTTGCCGGTACAATTTCGTCGTTGTCCGTAAGTTGGCGTCCACATTCGCTCGTGAAGGGTTCGTTGGCCGAAACAAGCTGGTTCGGTCGTTGATTTCGTTGGGTCGGGCTCCAGCGCCGGACTGTCGGGATCCGCACCCCAGCAAACCACGCTGCAGCTTCGACTCCGCCAGTAAACGACATTTCTGAGCTGTAACAAAAAATACGCCCACACCACGAAACGCAATGGAATCGACAACGCGTAATCTACAACCACTGGTATTGACTGCGGAACAATACGCAAGGAAAACTCACCCCCCTTGCGAGCGCCCGCTCCAGCCTAACTACCTACCTATGCATCCAGCCTGCAGCTGCAGGAGCAGCTACCTGGCAGCAAACTTGCACATGACAATTACAGCATCATAACATCCATCGCGCATACAGTACTTACACACCCCGCCCTGCCTCGACTGCCTCTCCAGTTGGCCCTCCCGGACAGTAACCCGCCGCTGCCTTTGACTTGGAGCAATCAATATTTGTGACGTATTGTCAAGCTGCAGTGCAGATTGCCAAAGAACCTTGCCGCAGAACGTGCCACCGGTGCTGGTGCCGGTGCCGGCGCCGTTTCCGCGAACCACTAATAATAAGGCAAAGACACGATGACATGCTTGTTAGCTCGGCCCCGCGGCTTGGGGAGCCTATTTTCGCTGCATCTTAAGACAGGCTTCCTGGTTTGCCATCTCGACACAACTTACTAGCGCGTATCGCCGAATAGAAGGAGCGATGACCTAGACATGCTCCCAATTGCTTGCCCCGGGCGTCAATGTTTTGTTTGGGGAGATGAAGACCCGCGGGTCATATTATACCTGCAAGGACTTCAGTAAACGCCGGCTCATTTCCGGGCACGGTGCAATGCCGCTTAACAGTGGTTAAAGCTTGGCTGGTGGTGAAGGCGCTACCAACACGTCAGATGCATGGCTGAATTGTTGACCCATGACTCATCGTGCAGAACGCAATCAGGCGGCGCAGATTGATGTACATCGGTTGCACGGGCCGTCATTTCGGCACTGCTTTGTAACTATTACTATTGCGACAAGGGCGGTCATTACAGCCATTCTTGGCTTCACCTGGGCGTCCCACCGCTATTATGGCATGCTTCTCGCATCCAACGCCTCCTATTTTGTCCTCCCACACCATGGCATACGAGAGAGCTACCTATGTGTGTACGGAGGAGACTAGCATGTTGTTCCCCGGCTGCCCTGTCACTTCTTAGAATCAACTGAGCAGCGGGATGAATCTCCCAATCTGGAGATGCGAGAAAGCAAAGGCCAAGGCGAGGACCAACGGGCGCTAGAAACCATGCGAATACCCAGATGTGAACCAATATATGACGCCCGTGCCCTTTAAAATAGTTGCGCCAATCCCCCGCTTTCCAGGGCACCAGCCGTTGCGGACGATACGGACGAGGTGCTAGTCGGCTCCGTAAAACTAATAATAATTTAATGATTCTCCTATTTTTACAGTCTTATTTTAATAGTGGCTGAAGAACCAAAAGGTCCGAACCAAAAGGTCCGAACCAAAAGTCTCCGGACGCCAAACAGGACCCAGAGGCGCCCACCAGTCAGGTTGTCAGGTCCGCGAGGAGGGTGGGGGATTCCCTCTCACATTGTTGCTGGTTTGAAGTTTCTACCATTGTTCCATCAAATGTGTCTGGAAAGGCGCTTGTTTGCAGCTGAGGCCAACCACTTACTTTCACGCCCCTCCACCAGAAATCATGGAGGCAGCCTGATGGAGGGCCAGCCTCCTCCACGCTTTCTCTCCTTCGATCTCGTGTCACATCATCTACCCGAGCCTCCTCCTTCCGTTCTCTGTTTTCTCTGCCAGATTTGAAGAAAGTGCCTCCTTGGAGAATTCAATAAGGGCAATTCCTGAGATAAACCCGGAAACGAGTGTAACGCGGGGGAGGCGGGCGACGAACAAGTCACATGAGTGGTTTTTCAGGCAAGGCTGAAGCCGCGGCGGAGCGCGACCAGCCTTGTATGTACACCGGACAATTTTTTTTAAGACTGTTTCAGAAGGTTTTTTACTTTTTTGTCTGAACCATGGACCAAGAAAACAGACACAGCAGGCTGGTTTATAATCCACGCAGGGCAGGTGCTAGTTGATTATTTCGTGACACACAGACACAGGTTCACAGACATTGCAAGCCGAGCTGGAAACTGGCTGATGCGGCTGAGAAGAGCTAAACGTTGTCTTTTTAGCTTCGTTTTAGAGCAAGCCATCTAGACAAGGGGAGAGGGGATCAGACGTCAGGAGGGGGATTGCATTAGCGAGTCTCGGCTAGATACATATTACTAGTAAAACTACATGTCAACTTTTATAGTATCGGTTTTTCGCCCCCTCGATGGAGGGGCAGTGTGTGTGTGTGTGGTGTGTGTGTGCCTGGGAAAGGTGAGCGAGCCAATTGGTGATGAGGGGGCGGCAGCGGGCGACCATTTGCCGAACGGGCGAGGACGAACGAAAACGTTTATCGATTATGTTGTATTTGCCAGTAGCCGTCTTCTTTCTTCTTGCGACATTTTGTTCAACGGGCTTGTAACCTCGAAAATGGATATCGTAAAGGATACGTGGGGGGAGACGGGAGAAGGGAAGAAAAAGGCCTCGCTCAGCCGGATGTGGTTCATTCTTGGCAGGGCCCAAGATACACACACGCGCTGACTGACTGACCCCCATCGTGTTGGCGAGTCAATCCTGTCTAGATGATGTTACACATGACGCCGCCTCAGGGGTAAGAAGAAGAAGAAGATGAAAAAATCACTTCACTGTGAAGAAGAGGAGACATGGGTTGGCAAGTTCACGTGTTGTTGATGATCCAGTTTAGGATATGCCCGGCAATGACTCGCTGCAAAAAAAAACGATGCGACGTGATATGCAATGGCCCTGCACCAGCGATCCCGAGGCGCTTGGCACCACTGGGCTCCCTCCAAGAAACGGCCCGTCCTGGCCAAGATCTTCAATCACAGCCCCGACAATGCGGTGTGCGATATGCTTGATGCACGAGAGGCAGCAACAGCAGCAGCTGCTGATAGTGGTGTAGGATAAGGGGTTGCTTGCCCCCAACGTTGAAGGAGGGCGAGAAACTGCAGAGGGAGAGGCTTGGGTCACATGTGTATCCTGAACGTTGTAGTTTCCCTATAAAACGACCTACAAGAGTAAGAAACAATACAAGACAAGGCCCCCAACTCTAGAATAGTAAAACAGTAATAGAGAGGAAACACGTTCAGTTGATTTCCTCCAACAATGGGCGCCTTGAACTCCGCCGACAGGAACAAGAAAGGGACCCCTTCCGAGGTGTAAATGAGCGTCTGTTTCGAGTGACGTTTTTGCCGTATAGATTAAAAAAAAGAATACAGATGCCAGCCGTGCATCATCCCATTCCCTGCAAGATTAGAAAGAAGAGAAGGGAAAGTCGCATGAGAGCGGAAACGAAGAGTATGCAACTTGCCCTCGGACCAGTTGCTGCCCCCGCCATGTCCAGCTGGCTACCGGGTAGGCAGTGGTGATGTGAAGAGTCCCCCCCGTGCTGGCGATGCCACGCCAGTACAAAGGAGGTATGCAATGCTCACCGAGATGACCAAAGAAAAAGAAGAAACAATGATAGCAAAAAAGCTGAACGAGCTGTCGAAGAATTCATGGTCCTTGTCTCATCGGGACGGTGTAATTTTGGGCATCAGCCCTTCGCGCGTTGATTTAATTAGGCTTTAGAGGCAGAGGCCTTGGTTGGTGTGGGAGAGACAATGTGGCTTTGGGAAGTCTTGCGCCCGCGGTCAGCGGCCTGCTCGTCGCTCTCCTCCGAGTCGTCATCGCTGGCCGGCCTGGCATCGCGCACGGTGCGGCGGTTCTTGGTCATCCAGGAGCGGACGCCGCCGACGAGACCGAGGGCGTATCCGGTGACAAACTCCTTGGAGTTAGAGCCGCCGGGGGTCGTGGGGGACCGGGCGAGGTCGCTGGAGCTCTGCGCGAAGCGGGCCGGGCTCTGCGGGCGGCTGGTGGGCCAGAACTGGCGCAGCTCACGGCTGAGCTCTTGGCCGGTGCTGGTCCAGTTGTTGGTGATATTATCACGGAGCTCCTGAACATGGCGCTTGATATCGAGCTCGTTCTTCTTGAGCCAGCTGACGTTGAGCTCCTGGCGCGAGGTGCCACGCTTAAACTGGCGGCTAATGTACTTTTCGTAGTCGCGAACGATGCGGGTAATGAGGCCGGTGGTGCTGACGCCCTCAGTGCGCTGAGTGACAAGGAACTTGCCCGCCTCCTTTATAGGCTGGTAGATGTCGTCGCCTTCATCGGCGCCGTAGGGCAGGTCATCGTGGGCCACGTAGTCGAGGCGGTGCTCCTCAAGGAATTCGCGCGTGACGATCCAAGGGCAGTCCTCAATCACTTCGTCCACCCATTTGCAGTGACGAAGGGACTCGGCGCGCTCCTTGGCCGACATGACGGTGAGACCCTTGCGGTTGTGCGTCTCGACGTCGCCGGTGACGCCGCATACGAGGGTCGTGTTGGGGAAGGCTTTCTTGGCCTGCTCGAGCTGGCGCATGTGACTGTGGCGAAATTAGCATGCTACGATTCGAGTGGTACAGCGGGGGAAGGAACTGTACCCAACATGGAAGAGATCGAAAACGCCATCGGCATAGACGCGAACGGCTCGGCCAACGGGAGGCGAGTTGGTTCGGTAACCACCGGCAGGGTGGACGATTTCGCCGATTGGAGGAGGGCCCATAAGCTCAACCTCTTCCTCGTCTGTGGTATCAAACCAGTTAGACGTTGCTCTTCCAGCGCTACCAGTTCTTGTTCAATCGATCAGATTGTCGGTGAACCTACCAGAGTCGGCGTTGTCCTCGTCAGTGAGCGTGTTGACAGCTCGTCCCGAGTTAGCCCGCTGTCGCTTAGCCTGAGGGCCACCGTTCTGAGTCTGGGGGGTTTGTTCAGTGGTGATTGCCTGGGCCGCACTCTCGGAAGTCTCGGGAGAGGCGACGCCAGCTCTCTTGCGCTTGCTGGCCGCGGAAGAAGCAGAAGCCATTGTGACAGACGGTCGTGTGCTGCGTAGAAGGGACAAAGAATCGGTTTGCCGAGGGCGAGGCTTTCTCGGCTACAGGGCAGGCGAGTTTGCAGATGCGATGAGCGCTCGGATCGGGGACAAATCGACCAGCTGTTGTTGGACCGCACAACGCGAAAAGGAAGATGGAGGAGGAGTGTCGCGTGACCGAGTCTGGCCAGGTATAGAGAAACTGATAATCAGGAGAGGGAACAAGGCCAATCTAGCTGGGGAGCAGACGATGGTGCTGAGCTTGTGGAACTAACTAGCAGGGCCGCGAGCCAGGAAAAAAAAGTGGTGCTATTTGAGGTTAAAGGGGGCGCGTCATTTGCAGTGGGGAAGCTTTGCGAGCGCGTGCAGAGGACGGTAGGTACCTCTGGGTGCAGCCGGTTTTATGGGAGAGCTGCAAGTACCACCGCGTACCTGATGGCGTACCTGCCTGATGGCGGGTTTCTTGCGGAGCCCTCCGTGTCAGACGCAAATGCTGCAGCAAGATGTCAATTTCGAAAATGCCAATAACTATCGAGCCGATACAAGGGGGGATTTAACGTTTGGATGGAAGGGAAGGGGCGAAGGAAACGGTGATGCGTCCTCAATGCTGACGGATGGCTTGATGTCATTGGTTTGACACCGGTGCAGAAACCTTGATTGATTACTGCGTTCTAACTAGCACCGGCTAACTTTGGAGTTTCTAGCAGACCAAGACTTATTGGCCAACGTCTGCTTGCCCGCCATTATGCGCTTCGTTGTCTCCCGGATTTTGACGGCACAAGCCCAAACTACGAAGTACGATAACTAATACTGGTGTTAGCCTCGAGGAAAATCCCTTTGTCGATCTGTGTGCCAATTCCATCTGAGTCAACCAGTACCCGAGGGCTCGTATTGCTAGTGGATTCTCCCCTCCACTCTCAGCAACGATCTTCAAACAGGGCGCTGCTGGTACTGCTCTGAAAGGCAAGTTATTAACTATTGTTAATAGAACTCCTTTTCCCAGCCCTCAAAAACACCACAAGCTACTAGTTAGTCCGTTAATCCGCCAATAAAGCTCCCAATGTCTCGCCGGGCCCGCCGTAATGAAACGCTATGAAGATTGAGCACGCGAGCAGCAAGTACATGACCCATTGACCCTACCTTGGCGATGCCAGGCACACTGATCGTCCTGATCAGCTCATTTCCGGCGCGTTTTGGAATGTGACAGTGCCCTATCGGCGCCCTCGGACGACGGGTGCGGGCGCGGGTGGCGGGACCGGGGTTGGAAAGGATGTTTTGGGTAACTTTTCCGTGTCCGTCGTGTCCGAGAGCTGAGTTGCAGTTTTTCGATGTTGGGGAACTGGACAAGACGGCGACATGTATTTGCATCGATGGATCGTATGCCAATAACCAAGGGGGCGTGACTAGCGGTGCTGTAGAAGCTAACTCCTGATAACTAATTGGCACACGCAACGTGAAGTTCATGGTTCAAGGTGATGGTATAGGGTGGTGGTTGGTCGTCTCGTTGGGCACAACCATTTTTTACAGTCAATAATGGCATCTCCTTTGAAAAAAACGAGATATAGTACTCTATATTCATATGCCGTTTTTCGAGCGCTTGGTAAATTGGGCACACCCCTCTACAAGTACCCTAGACGGATCTTTCTGTATCGCTACTACTCGAATAGGGTCGGTAGATGGTAACTAGGCCGGGAACATCACCTAGGATGACTTTGACTCTACACACAAACCTCGTATGAACTCAATGCGATCTGCAGTAGTTATTGTCACTTCGCAGCGATAGGGGGTCATGAGATATTCAGTCGGAGTTCAAAAAGTTGGCTCCCAGCCATGGCATGGTTTATCCGGGGGTATTATTACCTCAACGCCACTGACAATTTTGATGGTCTGACTCGATGCACGGGTTGCTGGCCCGGAGCCCGATTGAGCCTAGTTACCAACATGGTCCTAAGATGAAGATGAGCTGGGGTTGCCGTGATTCTCAGCTTTGCCCTGTCGCGTGCTGATTTGCCTAGTTCTGCGCGAAGCGCGGACTTACATAACCAGTCATTAACAAGGTACCCAGTGGGAAAAGGAGAGATAGTTAATCTTAGTTGCTGCGACTGGTATTGGATAATTGGATAATTGCATATTAGCCACATCTGAGTATTAGTTCATCTGCAGGCGACTCATCAACTCACATTGCACAGAAGGGAAGGCTTACAGTACTCGGTACGGCAATGTATACATTCGTACTCGACTCTTCGAACGCTCTTACTCTGGTTGCGCTACGACGCCTAGTCTGCCCAAATCTGTCGCGTGGGAGGGTAAAAAATGTTTATTGATACTATGTATGTGGTAATAACAGCTGCCTGGCTCAGCCCTGCCTCGTCGCAAGGAAAGAAACAAGAAAACGCCGGAAAGTTGCTAGCTCAAAGCCACTTGTTGATGATGAGTTTGGTATATAGTTAACGCCTGACCCCTCACTCGCTGACAAGAAAAAGCCACGCGGCCGACGAACTAGCAGCCCGTTTCTTCCTCGCACTGTGATGCCGAACAAACCGGCGATGTACTGGTATATCATAATCTTGGCGTACATTCAGTCTAACGCAAGAGGTGCGCGATAAATTCTGATTGACGCGCTGGGCTGGGGGCTGAGACCTGGAGCTGCCTCTTGTGGTGAGGCTCGTCTGGCCAGCTGTCTGTGGGCCCGAGGCGCCTGCATGAAAACCTCCAGTGGTATGGAGCGACAGCTACCAGGTATGTACCTAACTTTAGCAGGCAACGCCTCATTCATCAGGGCAGATCCAGTGCAATCGCAGGAATGTATCCGTACCTAGGTGAACAATTCCCGTCCCTCTGACGCTTCTACGCAGCCCTGCCTGATTGCTGCTTGCCAACTTCCCAGCCTCGCTCGCTGGCCGTGCTGTGCCTTATTACGGCGAATCCTCTTCATTCCACTGCGACGGGCCGTGCAAGCTTACGTTGTAATACATAGCTACTTCACAGCCTCAATTATTTACCGAACTGCGCCTTGAGCCTGTGGGACTTCTCGTACCCGCCGTAACTGTCCGCTCTTGATGCTTTTACCTGTCCTCGTACTCCGTACACAGGTAGGTAGGTGTGATTTGTACAGCTTGCGGAGCACCGGGCCTCGGACAGCCCACATCACCAGTGCAACCACTGCCCAGGCCAACGTTGCCACTGAAGAAACCCCGCCATCAGAGATCCCGTTGCGCACTGTGCACATTAATTCCATTGACACTGTACCCTTGAGTGGCATGTGTCGTCACCGACTCTCTCTCTCCCTGAGCTGAGAGCTCCAGGTTCGCATAGCCCTCAGCGCCTCTTTCATCTCCGCCTCCATCTACTCCATTTCCCTCATGCGTCTCGCCTTTTTTTGAATTTCATCTTCCTCTTGTTCCCCTCACCTTACAGCCGTGCATGACACAGCTGTTTATGCAAAGCCGACATCCCACCCTCGAGTAGCAAGCTCTAATCAAGTCGGCAGCGATGGGTCGTTTCAAGAGCGATAATGGCAGCTCGGCTGGCGACCCCAACTCTGGACTAGCTCTCAACGTCGTCATTATGAAGGTAAATATCACGGTCGACACTTTGGCATTCGACACTCCTTGGCTGCTCATTCAATCCCATGCATGCTGACCAGCTTTCTGCAGGCGAGAAATTTGGCTGCCAAGGATCGCAATGGCACATCAGACCCGGTAAGTTCGAGGCTAGCAGGAAATCTGCACACGTTCCCGGACCCTGGTAGTGTCGCATCTATTTTCAGAACATGCCGCTCATACCTGCACTCTCTGTGTAGTATCTCGTCCTCAGACTAGGCGATGCCCGCGCCGTCACGCACGCCGTCCCAAAAACGTTGAACCCAGAGTGGAACATTATCGAGCAGCTGCCAATCAACGGCATAAACAGTCTCGTTCTCGACGTCATTTGCTGGGACAAGGATCGCTTTGGCAAAGACTACTTGGGCGAATTCGACCTTGCTCTCGAAGAAATATTTCAAAACGAAAAGAATGCCCAGGAACCCAAATGGTACCCTCTCCGCAGTAAGCGACCAGGCAAGAAGACCAGCATTGTGTCTGGCGAGGTCATGCTGCAGTTCAATCTTTTGGACATTATAAATCCCGCTTCGCCGCACCAGCAGACGATGGACAGGCTTCAATCCCTCATTCGCTCCGTCCCCGTTGCTTCCGGTAGTCATGCTGGTAGTGCTGGTGTGACACCTGCCGCTACAACCACACCGCAGTCTGACCCTCTCTCTGAGTTTGTTGAGGACGACGATGAGGAAATATCCGACTACGAAGAAGACAGCAACGATGAAGGAGAGGGCGAAGGCGAAGACGAGGGCGAAGACGAGGGCGAAGACGAGGGCGAAGACGCATCCAAACCGGAGAGTGCCGAGAAGCGTCGACGCCGACTCCGAATTCGAGGACTGAAGCGCAAGAATCGACGTGCCGCATACGCCTTCACCAACGGTGACAGTGATGTCGTTGGCATCATCTACCTCGAGATTTGTCGTGTTTCGGATCTGCCGCCTGAGCATAACCTGACCCGTACCAGCTTCGACATGGACCCCTTTGTAGTAGCCTCCCTGGGTCGAAAGACATACAGAACCCGTCGCGTCCGACACAACCTCAATCCAGTATTCAACGAAAAAATGATTTTCCAGCTTCTTGGCCATGAAAAGTCATACAGCTTCTTATTTACGGTGATTGACCACGACAAGTATTCTGGCAACGATTTCATTGCGTCCTGCACGCTTCCTGTCCAGGATTTGCTCAAGAGGGCACCCCAAGCTGACCCGGCGACTGGATTGTACGAGGTCCCCGAGCCTCGTGAACACCGCGAGGCTGTGCCTCTGCCGCACAAGTCCCGCCTCCAGCGACTGGGGCTCTCACGCACCTCCTCATCCCAAAGTCTCAACAAGAAATCAGCCAAGGCTGCGTCTCTTTCTAGTGCCACATCTCAAACTCCTTCGTTGGAGGTCAGCCAGCCCACGAGCAACCCCGGCCTACTGGTTCCCCCCGAGACGCAATCTTCAACCCTTACAGAGCCAGAGAGCAGTGCAGAGGATGACGACCCCGAGTTCTACGAATTCTCTGTACCTCTGACGCTAAAGAATATCGAAAAGTGGGAGTCCAAGCATAGCCCAGTAATGTACCTAAGGGCCAAGTATATTCCGTATCCCGCTCTTCGTCAACAGTTCTGGCGTGCCATGCTTCGACAGTACGATACCGACGAGAGTGGCCGTATCAGCCGCATCGAGCTCACCACTATGCTCGACACTTTGGGTTCGACCCTCAAGGACTCTACCATAGACAGCTTCTTCCAACGCTTCCCCCATAAAGCTGCCGACAACGAAGACAGCTGGGATCTGACTTTTGATGAAGCTGTTATTTGCCTCGAGGATCAGCTGGAAGCCAAATCGAAATCAGATAGCAGCGTAGCCGACAAGGTCAAGAACGTCACCTCGGTGATGAAGAATCTCGCTTTGGGGGGCAATGCCGAGCAAGGCAACACGGCGTCGGGCTCATCAACACCCAGTGACGGTGGCCAAGACTCGCTCGAAAAGGAAGACTCTGGCGACGAGCACGTTGTTGAGATCCGCGAGTGTCCCATCTGCCACCAACCCCGTCTCAACAAGCGCAAGGACGCCGACATTATCACCCATATTGCAACCTGTGCAAGCCAAGACTGGCAACAAGTCAAGACTGTACTGATGGGCGGTTTTGTGACGGCCAGCCAAGCGCAGCGCAAGTGGTACTCCAAGGTCATCACCAAGATTTCCTACGGAGGCTACAAGCTTGGTGCCAATTCGGCCAACATTCTCGTCCAAGACCGCATGACGGGTCAGATCAACGAGGAAAAGATGAGCGTTTATGTCAGACTTGGCATTCGCATGCTGTACAAGGGATTGAAGTCGCGTGATATGGAGAACAAGCAGAGTAAGTGACCGAATCACAATGGACCGGGCCGTACTGACAAGATGTAGTTCGCAAGATGTTGAAGAACTTGAGCGTCAAGCAGGGCAGGAAATTTGACGACCCGGCTTCTAAGGATGAAATTGAAAAGTTTATCCACTTCCATCGGCTGAACATGGACGAGGTACTGTTGCCGCTGGACCAGTTCCAAAATTTCAACGAATTTTTCTACCGTGCCCTCAAACCAGGCGCGCGTCCCTGCTCCGCACCGGACAAGCCGGGCATCATCGTGTCACCAGCAGACTGTCGCAGTGTGGTTTTTAACCAGCTAACGCAAGCCACCAAGATTTGGGTCAAGGGTCGCGAGTTTAGCATCAAGAGGCTCCTGGGGGATGCATACCCGGATGATGCTGCCCGGTTTGAAAATGGCGGTCTGGGTATCTTTCGTCTCGCGCCACAGGACTACCACCGCTTCCATATTCCAGTCGACGGCGTTATGGGTGAGCCCAAGACGATTGCCGGCGAATACTATACAGTCAACCCTATGGCTATTCGATCAGCGCTCGACGTCTATGGCGAGAACATCCGTGTGGTGGTGCCAATTGATAGCGAGGTGCATGGTCGCGTTATGGTCATTTGCGTCGGCGCTATGATGGTTGGCAGTACAGTTATCACACGCACGACCGGCGAAAGAGTGCAGCGTGCTGAGGAACTGGGCTACTTTAAGTTTGGCGGTAGCACTATCCTGCTGCTCTTTGAACCAGGCAAGATGCGATTCGATTCCGATTTGACTGAGAATTCAGCCGGCGCTTTGGAGACTTTGGTAAGCCTTTTGACATGTTTGGCAGAATGCAGCTAATAGAGACAGATTCGCGTTGGTATGTCTGTCGGCCATTCACCCGACGAACCACAGTGGACACCCGACATGCGTGTTAGTGATGAGCACATTACCGAAGCGCAGAAGAAGGACGCCAAACGACGTATCCAGGGCAGCGTGGCCCAAGATTCGCCTAGCGATAGCAACGACGACGACGGACTGCACACGCTGCCACCAACCATGAGCACGATGGCAGCCTCTTCATTGTAAGAGGGTTTTTTTTTATCCAAGTATTGTTCTTGATATGACTCGGCATTTGGCATAAAGCAATTCGAATTTCAACATGCGAAAATATATACACAGAAAAAGAGGAAGTGTTCAAAATGACGAAATCTTCAACGAGTTGAGGCAGCGTATTAAGCGAGAGCGAGTCCAGGAATGTATTGACAAACCGGAGAATTCGAGACGAATAGCCACTTGTAGACGAGTAGTTTTAGTTTTGTTTGACACGGATGAATCAAGTTGACATTGAATTGTTCTGCAGCCAAAAGAGTAGATGGAAATACCACCAAGAAAAACAAAGTAAACGATGGCGAACGCTATTAATGCATGACCCTCCCTCACCCCCCCTCCCCACCCCCAGAAGTAGCAAGTAGGTGCTGATGATTGACTCGACTATCGGTCGCTCGATGAAGACGAGGGCCGGGTCCAGCCCGACGGCTCGCTGCTGATGGAGCTGAAGCTTGATCGCGGCGACGTAGGCGCGGACAGTGGCGAGGTGTTCTTGACGGTGGTGAGGGCCACCATTTCTGGCGCGGCGATGCTGCCGCTGCCGCTGCCGCGACGAGTCTCACGCCAGGACGAGTATACCTGTCTGCAGAAGTGTGCGGACATTGTGTATGTTGGTGACATCTTTGCGTGTGTATGTTTTGTGTGTGTATATCGTGTGGTTATGAGGTTTGATCGGTATCGGTCCGAAGCAGAGAAAGCGTCGACGAACGTGGTGTGTGTGTGTGTGTGTGTGTGTGTGTGTTTATTATGTAGTTGTAGGAGAAGAGAGATGGTCTGGAACTCGCTGTGTGCGTGGCTCGCTCGACTTATATGAAGCGGCAAGCGTCAGCTAGTTGCGTCAACTAGTTGCGTCGACGTCCCCGTAGTTACTTGAAACCGAAAAAGAACAAGAGAGCAAAACCTTGGGAAAAGGAACCCCGGGAAAGGAAAATAAAAAAAACAGGCAACAAGTGTGAGAAACAGGACGCCAAGGGAGGCACATTGGTCGACTTTTTAATACACACCCTGCCGACAAAACCGTACAACTTGTCGGTGCGCCAGGCTCAGACGCGGGACGTCAAGATGGCGTGAGATGCGGGGGGAAGTGGTGTGCTCGCGACGACGCCGCCCCAGCCACGGCACCAGACGCCATGCAAGCGGCCCCAAACAGATGGCCTGATCATTGCTCTCGGTTGCCTGGGTCGGATCTTTTTTATTTACATTTGTTGGGAGGAGGGGGGGAAGAAGGAAAAAAGCCGCGTGGTCTCGAGGTTAAATCAGGGTGGGTGGGCAGGCGGTCTGGCATGTGGCTTTTGGTGGTCTCAAGATGGCTCAAATGTACTCATATTTCCTGTATTCGGATGTGTGCGTAGAAAGCAGATATGGGCTATTCAAGTCGCTTTCGTGGCCACAATAGCAAGCAAGGTACAGAAGAATGGAAAAGACTCCCCCAGGTCCCAGCTCCCATGCGCATCTCTGCCCCCATCCATGACGCCAGACAGAATTTGTATAGGAAAGTAAATAATAATAATAAAAAGTATACAAGTATGATGTTTGTGCTTGCTTGCTTGGAAAGTGAAAAAGAACAAAAAAACAAAAATAATGTCGCAATACAAGAGTGTTTCAATAGTTACAAAGGGGGAGGCTCGAACGACTGCAGAAACTACACAATTGCAGCAACTCAATCGGCAATCGCATTCTCATCGGCGACCCGTGCCGCCTCGCGGAGCGACTTTTCCTGCTCGCTGGACACAGTCCGGTTGGCCAGGGCCTTTTTCTGCGACTCGACGAAGCGGTCCCACTGCCCACCGTCGGGGTCGCTGCCCTTCATCGTCGTCAGCAGCGACTCGCGGTTGTCCTTGTAGGCCTGGATCGCGCCCTTGGCCTGCACTTGGGCCCAAAAGTCGCCGCCCACGTCCTCGGCCAGCTCCGTCAGCATGCGCACGTGGCGCGGGTCCGCGCTCATGTCGTCGATCGAGGCCACCAGATCCCGCACCTGCATCTGCGATACCATGCCCACGCGGAAACGGTGGCCCACCCGGTGCACCCGTCCCTCCTCCTCGGCGAGCACCTTGGACAGCGTCGAGTTGCTGCGGGACAACCGCGGCGCGTGCATCTCCCCGTCGTCTTCCCCGTCAGACACCACAATCTCTTCTACGCGTGTGGGCCCTTGTGTCGACTCAGCAGACGCGCTTCTGCCGCGTTTCGGTTCCGCTTCGGTGAGCTCTAAAGGTTCTCGTGTATCGGGATATTCGTCTTCGAACCGGTTGATGATGCCCTGCAAGGTTTCGTCCAGGAACGTGAGTTTTCGCAACGTCATTTCGTCGTCTGGGTTAGTCTTGGCCTTGATAAGGGCAGGCTGTAACCGCAATCGAATCTTGCGCGCGCCGGCTAGCAGATGCTTTGACATATCCTTCGCCTTGCCGCCGGTTGCGAGCTTGCGGCTTGCAAGAGACGCACCAGGCTCCGCTTCGCGACCAAATTCACCAGACTGGCGCTGCGAATCATCTCCACGATTCTCGAGGCAGCACTTGAGTGCCTTGACGACGCCAGTACCCCCAATAACGTAGTCTTCATTAGGGGCTGAGCTATTGTCTTCCTCGTCGCTATCTTGCATCACATCGTGGCCTACGAGATGCATAATGACGTCAGAGTAACCTGCTGGCTTTGAGTCATCGGCCCCATTAGTCTCCGACAATGTTGCCGCCATGGCAGCGCCAAGGCCCGTGTCTGGCATTTGCTCCATGTTGCGTAGACAGTACGCAACAACCTGCCTTGCCATGGCCTTGACAATCTCGCCAGCTTCGTCGTGAGGAACGTCAATATCAATGGCGATGATACTTTTCGAGACTCGGGCTGCCGCCATGAGTGAAGCATACAGTGAGCAAGCTTCCTCTTGTGCCTCTTCACTCTTTGCGTGAGCCAGCTTGACAAGCTCTTCGTTTTCCAGCAGGTTGATGTGCGCCAGTTGTTGAATTTCCGGAAGCACCTCGACCAACGCGATGGCCTGCTCGGAGTTCATGCTCACATCAGATAAGTGGATGCGTTTCAACCCAGTGCATTTAGGCAGATATCTACAATGAATTAGCATGATGACGAAAAGAATTTATGAGGCAATCTTACCTTCTTAGAAGACCGACGGCACTAGGTCGTGACTGAAATAATTCCCTATTGTGGGAAAGATCGATAAATCGGATATGTGGCATGTTTGCCAGGACAGGTAGAATCTTTGAGAGAGAAGAAGGTCCGAGTTCGCAACCCGCCAAGCTGAGAGCCGAGAGATTGACGCTGACTTCTATCGCCGATGCAATTTTTTCCTCGTGACCACGGAGATCATTGCCGGCCAGATCGAGGCCTTCACAGATGCCCGAGGAGATGTATTTCGTCACATGACTAACGCCCTGTTCGTCGAGGTAGTTATGCGCTAGTCCGAGACGCTTCACTTGACATTTCAACATGCCGTCGAGAATGACGCCGAGTTGTTCCATGCTAGGTTCCGTCTCGCCAATATTGATCAAATCTAACGTCGAGCCGCCGAGTCGATCACCGAGGGCTGTGGCGAATATGTCGGCGATACTGCGGGGGATGTGTTGCCCATTGGACAGCGCGCCGCTGGCCTGGGAAACGGCCTGGCGCGGAAAGGGTATGTGGGCAAGGTCGAGACTCTTGATTGATTTGCAGAGGTAAATGAATAACGAAAGGTGCTTCCATCCGTCTGGTCCAAGTTTGTTGTTTTTCAGGACGAGGCGCTCGACTACGCCGCCCTGCGGTTCTTCTTTGTGCCTTGGCTTTTTGCGGTGTGATGTAGGTGGTTTGGCGGCCAAGAGGCCAGCCAGGACCACACGGAGGCCTTCGTCCGTCAGACCAATATTCTCGAGCAAAACTTCTCGAACAGGTACAACGGCAAGGAAGTCGCCGAGTGTTACCAAATCAGCCAGCTGTAACCAGTAGCCTGTTAGATCCAGCTTGCTGACCACTCCGAGGGTAAGGTTGATCGGGTCAATCAATTGTTCTGTAATCTTCTTCAGGATTGGCGTGTCGCGGAGATGGCAACATCTTCGGTAGATTCTCGCGGGGTTGGTAATCGGTAGAGAGCTGGTCCTGACTGTGCTAGAATCTGTCGAATCAGACAAGTCAGAGCTGTCGTAGTGAATCTCGACTGGAATGGTGCCGTTATCTTCCGCCAGCTTTCTGCGCTTTTCTTTTCGCGCTTTGCGTTCTTCTTCACTGCGCTTTTTCTTCTCCTTCTTCTTGGATGTTTCCTTCTCATTCATTGAGGTATCCGCTTCTTGACTGTCGTTTTCGTCAGCCATATTGCTCGGCAACTTTTCGAGTTCGTCAACAGCCCCGATTGCATGACCATTTGTCCCTACTCCAGCCACTGGTTCTAACCTGCTATTATCAAGATTCTCTTCTTTCATGACAGCGCTGTCACTCTTCAGCGCTTTGCCCTCGCCCTTTTCACTGAGCTTCTTCTTTGCGGTCTTGTCGATTAGTTGTGTAGCGACTTCCCCATCTGCGTACTTAGGCATCGATGCAACTTCCACATCGACGCAAAATGCAACACGGCGTAATTTGGCTGCCTTTAGCTCACTGATGTCACACCGTTCTCTGTTTTTATCCTTGTTGAGAACCATACGTTCAACAAGACCGTGTGCTAAACGATTGTTGGCAGCACCGTTGACAGACGAGGATGATGACAGGCGGCGGAAAACATTTAGAATGCCGGCTTGGCCAGACCTGGGCGGCGCTGGTATATAAGGACCACTGCCCTCTGGCTTGGCGCCATGTTGCAAAACGGCATTTCTTGAGGGCGAGATTTTTGGGACAGGTGGCTCTGATGTCTGTGGCGATGCTGGCCCTTGGTCTTCATGCGACGTAGTGCGATGCGGCAGACTCAAATTATGAGGTGACGTCGGTTCCGTTGGCGACTGAGGTCCATTCGCGGCGGGCGATGAACTCGAGAATTTGGCAGAAATATTGGAAAACCAGGTGCGACGACCAGGTGGTGTGCCATTGGGTCCGGGTTGCTTATCGACGGAGCCAGATCGCGACAGGCGTTTGGTGAGGCTGGAGCCGCCATTGAGAGAGGTGCTCGGTTGAACGTTGACCTCAGGTCCCGACTTGGAATCCTTTCGTTGATGCGACGGTGTATTGTTCGACGGAGTTAATATTTGGCGGGGCTGAGCGACAGCCGCCTTCGGCGGCGAGGAGGATTTATTAAGCTTGTCTTGAGACCAGAGGTTAGCGCCAGTTTGCAACAAGTAATTCAGCAAAAAGCATTGGACAAGTGGCAGTAGCAAATGCCATATTGTGCCGGGGAGAGGTGAGATGAGCCACAGTAGAGATTGTTGACATGCCTTTGGAGGAACCTGGAGTCATCCAGCTGACGTCGACGCCGTGGACCTGCTCCATGGTGTCCAGGGGGGCGCAACAGCAGAACTCGTATACAAGTAGCACAGAGACGACAGTCAGCGCCTTCCAACCGTCACGATGTCGCCCGGATTCGTTATTGTCCCATGAACAAGCAGGATGGAAAAGCGACTGGGCGAGGCGATGACGAAAGAGGGGGTTGGCGCTCAAGAATTCGAGTCCGAGCGATGATGGACGTCTTGAGACGACAAGCAATCGAATAGCAGCAAGCAGCAGGACTTAAGCGCCGACGATGGCAGGTTGGATCTCACAAAGCCAACTGCAGTGAGTTGTTTTCTTTGCCTCGTGTGAGGGGGCAGCTTGCAACTTGGCGCAGGCTGGTGGTACAGTGGCAGCGAAAAGACAAATCGTGGGGATCCAGGTTTCCAGGTGGCAAAGCTGGGGGATGTGCCCTGTAACTTTGTTTCGTCGACCGACACGCTAACGAGTGCCGTACACTTTTGGTGGGTTTGGGGGTTTGTGCTGGTTAATGACCACCCAGTTATTGGGCCTGCTAGGCCACTTCAGGCAGCCTCCCTCGGCCTTGCCAGCGTTTGCCACTCGTTGCACATGCACTACAACGGAGTACTACCTTAACTCCAGTGGTACCTGCGAGCCCGGCGGCATCCCCGCTGCATCACTCGTGGAGAGGAGATCCAGTCAGCGCAGGCGGATTGCTGGAGCCTTGTAGCCGCAAATATTTAACATTTGTCCGTCCCGATCTTTTTGCTATTATTAAGCAATCAACATCTGTCCATCGCAGATATTATTCACGCTGAGCCGCTGCAAGCCCCAAGCGCTGCTCGCAATGTTTGAGACTCGGGATAGCATGTCCACTCTACTTTCGGTGGCAGGCTTTCCAATCAAAACCACCTACCGCGTCGGCGATTTAGATAATGAAGCTTTCTGCTGTTTCCGGTGTCATGGCTCTCCTTGCACAAAGCTGACAAAAACCACGCATTGCAGCCACCGAGTTCTAGACCTACTTCAAGTCCGTACCACACACTTTGCCGCCGGTGACCAAAGCCACCATTTTCGGCCCGCTACAGACGGATGGACCAATCTTCGGGACCCAGGCAAGCCTCATCAATATCAAGACCCCTCAATCCGCCTCGTGCTTGCCAAAGCGATTGACTGCCCGAGCCCAGATTGGCTGCATTGATAGAGATAACTGAAATCATTCCGACGCTTTGTTTCAATCCCGCCCTCGTCTGCCTTTTTGGCGTGACCAGGAAGGCAGGACTGCAGAGGTAGCACATGAATGACAAATCACATCCCCCAAGATATCTAACTTACATCATAGGACACGCTCATCTCATTTGAGCTAGTTCAACGCGAGATAATCGATCGGCCCATGCCCATCAAGTCACTAACTCAGTTCGTCATCTTGCATTAGAATTCGCTTGAGAATAGGATGCAGGGTAATCAAGTTAAAAAAATCATGGAAAAGCCTCGTGGTATTTTTTATTCATCACAGCCCTCCTGAAAACTCCAGAACCAAGCATTACCAGAAAGTCATATCTATGGCACCTTTTTACTCCTGCTGAAGGATCTGAGCAATCTTCTTCTGCACGTTGGCCTCCTTCTCGGCCTTCGTCAGGCGCTTGGTCTTGTACTTGAGCGAGATGGCCTTCCACTCCTCCTTGGTCTTCTTGGGACCGTCACTCTCAACCTTCTTGAAGGGGTCCTCGCGGATGGCCTTGTGGGCCTCCTGGTACAGCTCCTCCAGAGACTCGGCCTCAATATCGTCCTCGATGTACTTGACGAACTGGCCACGGTAGCGCTCCTCATCGTCATCAGCGAGGGTCTCCATGTACTCGGCGACGTGGCCACCATAGATGTAGTTGCGGAGGGTGTCGGCGTCGAGCTCCTTGGTCTCCATGTCGTAACCAGGGAAACGCTTCTCCGAGTGAGGCACGAGGATACCACCGTCCGAGGCACCCTTGAGGGCACCGAAGACACGGGCACCGGTCGAAGTGCGGGCAAGACCAACGTCGAGGAAGGCCTTGAAGGGGCGGCGCTCGCCGTCGTCGGTCTCGGCGGCCTCGGTGAGGGTAAACTCACCGTCGGCCTCCTCGACACCGACAAAGTCCTCGTCGAGGCCGAGCTTCTTGAGGGCACGGCGGGCAATCAGAAGACCGGTGGCGTAGGCGGCGGCCCAGTTGGTGAGGCCGTGCTCGATGCCGTAGGCCTTGAGCTCGTGGGCGTAGGCGGCGCAGAAGACCTTGTCGCCGGAGATCTCAGACGTCACCAGCTGCATGATGATGTCCTTGTTGGTGAAGCGGACGACCAGGCGGTACTTGGGCGCATTGTACTTGTTCTTGGCCTGGGTGATGAGGCGCTTGCGAGCGTAGTAGTCGGTCTTGCCTTGACGACGGCGCTTGAACTTGGTCTGGTAGCGGCTGCAAGAAGATTAGTACTGTCGCAAATCCTGTGATGATGGTGGCACAAAAGACTTACCTGTAGTAGGCATTACTCTTGATCATCTTGTTGAAACCCTAATATTCATAATACCCCCGAGTCAGCAATTTGCGCTTCAGACTTGCTCGTCCTCCTTCCGAAGCAACTTGCGACGACTCTGCATCTCGAGCAATTACATGGCCATTGGCGTTTCTGCCAGGCGGCCATGATGGAACCGATAATAAAATCGAAACCGCAGGTTCCCATGAACATGGTATACCTAGGAGAGAGGCCTCAACTTACCATTTTGACGGTATTGGTGGTCAACAACGGACTGTCCCTGGTAGTTGTGAATAAAAGTTCGTGATAGGAAACACGACGGGTGAAAATTTGGTGGGGGATAAATTCAAGCCCTAAGCGAATGTACCCTGCCAATTGTGCGACCCACTGCGCGGAACTGCGGTTGGTGACGAGGGGGCTCGAATACTGGCCAAGATCACGTGGTGTTTGATTAGGTAAACCGTAACGCGGGGCCGGACCACTCCGATCAGAACGGCAAGTATTATGGGGCACTGCCGAGGCAAGGAGGTCTTTTACCGGGGCAGTTCTCCAATTGTCCTGTAAGCTGTCCCTCATTTAAATGCAACTACAGTCCTAGCAAATGGACAGCTTCATCCCACCACGGTACGACGACAAATTCCATCGTAATGTCTGAATTCGGTGAAGATCCGCCCGTAGACCTCATTCTGGAGGCTATTGATGGTGAGTTGTACGGACCTAAGCAACCGAAAGTCATTCTCTTTGACATTGGTGGTGTTTGTGTAAGTTGCTTTTCCAACCCAACTAGTTTGCACTCTTAGTGAGGCCTAATACTTTACACTAGGTCGTTTCTCCCTTTCAAGCAATCTTGGACTATGAATTGAGCCTCGGCATTCCTCCAGGGTGGATCAATCATTCGATTTCCAAATCTGCTCCCAATGGCTTCTGGCATCGTCTTGAGCGCGGTGACATTGCCATGGATGAAGCTTTTTTCGAGGGCTTCAATCGTGATTTGCACAGACAGTCTTTATGGGAAGCCTTCTACGAGCGGGAGAGAGCAAAGAACCCCAAACTTGACGATCAAATCCCTCCGCTGCCTGCGCTTGACGGCGAGTGGCTTTTTAACGCGATGATGTCTGGATCCGTCAAGCATGACCCTTGGATGTTCCCTGCCTTGCAAGCACTCAAGGCGAAAAATAAGTACATTATTGGTGCTCTCAGCAACACCGTCATTTTTCCGCCCGGTCACGCGCTTCACCAAGCCGACTTCTTCTCCGGCCCCCTCAAAGGACTTTTTGACGTATTCGTCTCGTCTGCGCATGTTGGTCATCGCAAGCCGGAACCCAGCATTTACCAACTTGCGACGAAGAGGCTTGACGAATTCGCCAAGCGCAATGCCGACTCACCTCGTAACAGCAACCTGGGATGGGAGTCTGGCGTAAAGGCGACCGAGATTCTCTTCCTGGACGACATCGGAGAGAACCTCAAGGCTGCCAAGAAGGAAGGCTTTAACACCATCAAGGTAAATCTGGGCAGAACCTTTGAGGCGGTAGAGGAATTGGAAAAGATTACAGGACTGGAACTAGAGGGAGACCACCCGAAGATTCCAGTCAAACCCAGATTCACACGTGTCAAGACGTCAAAGATCTGAACGCCGAAACGTTGACGTTCTGCCTGAACATTTAGATGCATTCGTCTCAATTTTAGCAAGCTATCTCTCGTATCAAGTTCTTTTCTCGATTCATACGCACTGGCTCTCGCACACTGTGACCGTGCCGTCCGCCGCCAGCCTATTCCATTGTTTGATGAAGAATGGTTTTGTTTTCTCCGGAAAATCAGCTAAAACAACCGTAATGTAAATTGCTGCCTGCATAATTTTTGTCGAATTGCTACACGAGTTGAACCTTATTAAGGTGATAGACATCATTGCCAGGGCGCTTGCGAGTACAGTTGCAGTGTTGACGTCTAGGTCCTGCAATTCCAGGAACGTGCAACATCGATATATCAAGCGCCACAAGAGAGATTTGAAGCATATTGTACGCCTAAAATTTTGTAGATATGTTCCGTAATTCTTCCTTCCGGTGTGCTCTGAGTTCCTGGAATGTCACTCACCATTCGTCTCCCATGCTTGAGGTACTTTGCCCATTTTTTGAGGATCGTTTCCCTTTCTTCAAGAAGAACAAAGACATTTAGATAGAAGTAGTGTTTTCCTAACGCTGAGTAGGACTGTAGATCCGCCATGTCGTTCTGGATGAGCTGACGTGCTGGTGCACCGAGCGGTCTGCATCCAGCTGCGCAGCTGGGCGACCCCGAGCATGGCTTTGGCGACATCGATTACAACAATGCAGTCACTGCGAGTGATGACAGGAGCCGCGCATAATATCTCGAGATCAGTACCGCACGCCAGAGACAGTATTCTCTCGCTCGAACGCAGGCCAATAAGATCCATCAGTCGCCGAGTGTAATCCGGGTGCCAGGAGCCATCATAGTCAATATCACGCGGCTCATACAAGGCGCTCGCTATTTTGCACCCACTTTTGTTCTTTTAATCGCCATTTCTCGCACCATATGCAGAGGTGCACATCGTCATTTGTGACTGCAGTGGCTACAGTAGATCTTCAACGCAGTGGCTGTCTATGTCAACAAGGCGCAGAATTTGACTCAAATACGACGAGAAGTATGGCTAGCCAAGCAGCTGAGTCTGTGAAGATATGTGCGCATCGACGAATGCGGCAGTGACTCATTGGACGGCGGCGGGCGTGTGGCTTCGTATTGCGCGGGGTGGCAGTGATCTACCAGTTAGTGATCGTTTTGAGCTGAACACCCCTTACAATGAGCCTGCATCTATCACAAAGAAAAAAGTCTATCAGAAAATGCACTTTACTTTCAGGGACATCCTCACCGCCCGTCTTTTATCAAGGCCTGTCAAGAGGAGTGAAGAGGACCCCGTGGCTGTGAAGTGGAGAGATTCACCACACTCTGGAGCAGTACAAAAGCACCGAAATGAAGGCCTGACTACTTCTTTCCCGAGCTGCATGGCTCAACAGCTGACGTGCTTGTAGCCAGCATGGACCATGCAAGACCCTGGAGGAGAGCAAGGCCTGGATGGTGGGCATCATTCCCGTACCGATGCCGACGAAGAAAATCCGAGTGTCGTACCTAGTACTCAAGTACTGTACTTCACCCCACCGAGATGGAAGAGAAACACGGGAAAATGGCAGGGCGTCACGCTGCTGGCCACCCGTTCCATACTCGGAGACGACGTTGATGCCTGCATGCGCGGCCCCAATGACCTGTGCAAGGCCGTGGAGCTTGGCTACCCAGCTCATGGCTTGGCTACCTGTTTATGCCTGACGTCTGGGGCAAGGACTCAGGACTCGCGACGGAGAGCGTCCGGGCCGTACTTAGTGTCTACCGGCAGGACATTGCGCCCACAAGCCCGCTATATCCGCGAGAGATGCAGGCTAATGCGCATGAACTGAATGCAGAAAGTCGGCCAGTGCTCGAGAAGCTTGGTTTCAACGAGGTTGACCGGTTTGTAAGTGAAGTTTGCCTGCTACTTAGCGGGCGGTGCACAGAAATACACAGTCATGCACTTTTGCGCGGCGGATCAAAGAGGTTTGATCCCTATCGGCGACAAAATGCCATAGAAACTTTGCAATTATTCCACCATTTATTTCACCATAACAATGGATGTTGAAGATGCGGGAGCTAAGACGGCACGGATTGCATGTGGGTGCAACGACGTTGCATGGCGCTGGCAGAGACATTATGTGATGTCTCCGCCCTGAAATAGAAGTTGCATGGTATTTGCACCACTGACCAACTGTTCGCGAGTGATAGGTCCAGGAGCTTCCATTTCGTTATTATAACGTGAGAAATTGCAACACCAATATGAGACCGGATCAGCGGAGTCGATAGTGCCGCATGCAGCCGAGAGCGATATCACATTTGGACACTGGCTCGCAAATGTCTATTATGTAGTGAAGTACATGGATAACCGTCGCAAATAGGGAGCTGACCAAGGAGAGATTTATGCCAGCAGCGTTAATCGCAATGGCAGGTTTTATATAGAAGGGTTAAAGGCAATGATAGTGAGGCCGCAACGTAACTCCAAGATGCACTGTCCATCACTATGTAAATCATACACTAATCTCGTCCGCTTGTTCAGCCACCCGCCATCTCTGAATTGCCCTCGCTTTTCATCACCAAAGTCCCCACAGGACAGGCTCGGGCCGGACAACCCTGACGTATCGTTTCGCCCCCAGTGGCGTTGACGAGACATGGATGCTGTGGGTGGGTTTGCTTGTGATCGACGATCGTCCTCGTTGCTTGACCTTTTCAGGGGTTTTTGAGGCCAGCTGCGTGAGGATCAACAACAATGTGAGGCCACTGTAACAATGCGAGCCAACTATTCGGTGGCCCCATACTTGGACCGCCTGAGAATTCACAGACATGGTTTTGTTTTGCTGTCCGGCGCTGCTTGTACCTGTAGACGGGCGTGCCAGGGGCGGAAATTTGATCAAGCCAATAGTTACAAAGTTCAAGCCAAGCTGCCAAGGGTAGCAATCATACGCTCAATTGTGTTCCGGAGCGCTCTCCGTGGAAAACGTACGGAGCACAACGCAGCTGCTGCCACTGAGAACTGGATGCCTCACACCAGCTTGCTCTGTTGGCACGCCGGGCATCAACAGCTGCGAGACAGCCGAGAGCCTGCTTATCCCGCAAGGTATCAGTTCCGTGTTAGCCTTTCTTGGCTCTGCACGCCCGGGTTACACTCATCTATACGAACCAGTCGTCGTGGCACTGTATTGCATGCCATGTTCCAGTACTATCCCCTCTGGCCCTGTCGTAAGACATGTTCCGATCATGTGGACTGCAACACTGCTTTCTAGACCGCCCATCTCGCCGGACCTTATTTCTGCTCGCGCTGGCAAATAAGAGACACATCACCTCTTTCACCGACAAGCTAAACTACACAAAGATCGACCCCCTCTCATGTCGCTCCCAACACCGCAGGCCATTCGTTACTGACGCGCTGCTCACAACGCTGGTGTTCTAGCCCGGCTGGCTGCCCGATCCCGCCCTCTCATCTCACCCACCCACCCGCCTCCCGCCGATTTAGCAGCCACAGTCAGGGGAGGGGGGAGATTTGCACAAGGGGATTCGGCCCTGCAACCTCCTTCTGTGCCCCTCGCTCCTCGCTCGCCCGCCTTCTTCTCGAGAGGAAGGGACCCGGTCGACGATGGACGAGTGTCGACTGGCCATAGTCACACGAATTTCGGCAGAGCCCTTTTCCTCATCATAGCAAATTCTGGCCGCGCCATGACGGCAACGCAGCCAGGGTCCGATCGGGCGGCAGGCGCCGCTGCCGCCGCCGAAGTCGCCTTCATCACCGAGCTGTGGACGCTGTACGCAGTCGGGCTGTCGGCGACCATGCTGCGAACCTATGCGCGCGTACGCGCAGTTGGGCTTCGGGGCCTGCGCGCAGATGACTATTTTGTCTGGGTCGGTATTGTAAGTGCCGCTGCCCGCATCGGCGTGGAACAGGCGAGCTGACTATCGCATAGCTGTTTTATACCGCGCAGTCGGCGCTTGGCCACGAGGTCGGCCATGCGGCGAATGGATCGGCCAACAATGGCATGTCCGAAACGCAGCGGGAAAGCCTGGATCCAAATAGCGACGAGTACATGAAGCGGTAAATTCGATTCCTGTCCCTTGCCGATTCTCGGTCTGCAGACGCTGACTATACCAGTGTCCTTGGCTCTAAGATTCAGGTAGCGGGCTGGTCGACGTATGTCTGTCTCATGACTAGCCTGAAGATTTCGATGCTCTTCTTCCTGACGCGCCTCATGTTTGGTCTGGGACGCTCATTCCAACTTCGCATCTGCATCGGCTTCATTCTCGTCATCACCACCTTCATTACGTGCCTTGTTAGCATCTTCGCATTCTGTCGTCCCTTCCGAAACTACTGGGCAATATATCCCGACCCAGGCAGTAAGCAACAGCCGAGCGTATTCCCCTTCTGCTCGGAACAGTACCTAACGTGCTTCTGTAGGGTCATGTCAAGCTGCCATTTCCCTGCCCATAGTGTGGTCAACTTTTGCAACCAATGTATCTACCGACATTTATCTCATCATGATCCCGATCCCCATACTGTGGCAGTCTTCGCTGGCACTGTCGAAAAAGATTGCCTCGACTGTTGTGCTAGGCGCTGGGATATTCGTTCTCGTTTGCGCGGTTTTGAAAAGTGCCTTTATACTCGCCGTACGTTCCGGCCATGCTTCTTTTTTTAACTTCCCACCTAACTGACTCTAGGATCCCATTAATGGTGCCCAATTGGCTGGTTCATGGGGCACCCGCGAGGCGTTCGTGGCCGTCATGACCACAAACCTCCCCATGATCTTTCCGCTCATAAAGCGCTGGCTGCGTCCCCTGCTGCCGAAGCAGCTTTCAGCCTCACCAAAGGTCGAAAAGTCGCCCGAGGGCTTCCGAACCATCGGCGGTGGAGGGCCGGGGGCGGAGGCCCGACGTAGGCCTGCCAGTGCCAATGCACTCACAGGCTTGTCTTGCAGTGCCTCGGAAGAACTTGTGGCGGATGAGACAAAAAAGGAACAAGAGCAAGAAGACATACTTCTCCCTGGCGAAATTACTGACATAGAAGCTGGCGCGAGCAGTCGTCGCCCTTCACTGGTGCCTGGTAGCGACGATGCCGAGCAGAAGGCGTGGACACAGCTTGAACACGACTCGAGGAAATGAGGCTACGACGGAAATGAAAAAATTGCACTAAATCGAACGAACATGCATAGGTCATGTATACGCAAAGCTTAATGGTTTATTACAACGGAATTGCAAAGGTTTGCGCAGCAGTGTACGATGATACCACGGGAAGGAATTTTGAAATTTGGTCAACTCAAGTACTTATACTATATCTTGCTGGAACTAGCTGCATCAATTTCTAACAATCGGGTTTGCAAGCCCATTTTCGTTATTATTTTGATTAAATCACATCGACAGGTAACCGCAAGCAGTACATTGCCAGTCTTTATACAAATGCTAGGCAAGTGACTGATACTCTCGCTGTGCTGCACCTCTTCGCGCAAGCGCTCGACATCAGCCTGGCATTGAGAGATAAGTCTGACGCCGCAGATTTGAATGAAATATTTGGATTCAGGCTGTCATGCCTCTCCAAGCGAATTGTCGATAATTCCCATAGGATTCGCTCACTGGCTTGTGTTGTTCATCTGCACATCGTCAAAGTTCCACGCCGAGCCCTCCAAGAGCCCGACGAACCAGCGCGGCCCGGCGTTGCTCGCGAGCCGGAACCACGGACGCCCCAGGAGCCTCTCCTCCATATACATGGGCTCCTCGACCTCCTCGGGTGCAGCAGCGCCCCGCCCGCCCGCGGCACCCGTCGCGGCCGCCTCGTCCATCTGCCGCAGGCGGTTCTCGTACCACGTCTTGATGTAGGCGGTCTTGTGCGAGGAGCCGGCGTACCGGCCGGGCTCGTCCATTTCCTCCTGGGAGACGCCGAGGACACGCGTCTCGCGCACAAAGTGCTCCACGGTGGCGCGGCGGCGCGCCTCGGCGCCCTCGAGGCGGCCGATGATGTTGGCGAGGAAGCCGGAGAAGTCGAGGACGCGGCGCGCGGCGGCCGCGTCCCAGTCGGGCGCGTCGACGACGAGCAGCCGCGAGCAAATGACCATGACGAAGCCCGTCTGGCCCGGGGCCGCGAGCGCCTGGAAGCGCGCGCTCGTGGCCGGCACCGTCGTGACCGTCTCGAAGAAGCTGTTGGCGGCGACGAGGCAGTTGTGCAGCGCCGTGGCGCGGTAGCGGTGCTGGCCGCTGCCAGGGTCGGCGCCCGCCGGCGCCGGCACGTCGTCGCCGAGGTAGGTGGCGGGCTCGTACAGGCGGACGAGGAGGTACTGCCGCGTGAGCTCAAAGTAGCGCGCAAAGTGGTCGATCTGGTCGGGGGAGCAGTGCGGCATGCGCTGGGCCAGCTCGGCGTAGGTGAGCGACTCGAGGACCGTGTCGAGCTCGGCGCGCAGCGTCGTGACGTTCTCGTCGACGAGGAAGAGAAAGGGCCGCCCGCGGGCCGTGTCGTTGGCCGAGCCGAAGAACTCGGAGATGCGGTCCTCGATTTGCATCAGCCGCACGACTTGCTGCAGCAGAAAGTCGGACGGGTACTCGCCGGCCTGGGCGAGGGCGTCGGCGCAAAAGTCGACGTACTGGCACCGCATAGTCGTGTTGCGGCCAAATTGACTCGAGTTACTGCGGCGGTTAGCTTACAAGTTCAACAACCAGCGATTCTACGTACACTGATAATAAGTAGTAGACACCAAGAAACGCGCGCATCTCGTCCGACGATGGCGCCTTGGGAACGTTGATGTCCTTGGCCGCTCTCACATCATCTGGCGCATTATCCATTCCGATTTGCTTGAGCAGCTCCCGCGGTATCTTGGTGATGCCCAAGTTGTGTGCGAAGCCCGTGGCCAAATATGTGAGATTCGTAATTTGCTGGTCGTATAGACTTTGAAGATCCGCCCTGTGTCTTGTCAATTTTTGATCAGGTGCTGGATAAACCCGGGCGCGTCGCGTACCAAGCAATCACAATGAGTAAGCCCTGCAACACGTCGAGACTTCGCTCCTCCTCCACCAGCATGTGCTGGCTTATGTAGGCAATGACATTGCGCTTCATCTTTTTCAGCCGCGCGACTGGCAAGGGGGCCGAGGAGAGCATGACCGCCCGGAACAGGCACGGCTTGGACTCGCACAGCTCCTGTGCCGTCATGTGGCCGGGAATCCACACAAAGGGAAAGTTGTAGAGACAGGTCTCGCGGTAGATGGCCAGGATCCGCTCCGCCTGTGGCCAGGTAAGGCCCAGGGGCGGCTGCCGGGCGGCTGACGGCCAGCTGGCCGAGTCCTGGCGCGGCGCGGCGGCGGGCGACGGTTTGGACGTCGAGGTGCTCGCGGGCGATGACACCGGAGGGATGGCCGGGGTCGGCGCGGCGGCTTGGCTGGGCGTCGGGACAGCAGCAGACGGGCCGGCAATGGCCAAGCTGCGCGAAGTGAGGGCATTTTGCGTCTCAATGGCCGTCGTCAATGCATCGAGACGCTCTTCCAGAGACGCGACACGGCTACAGATGCGTCAGTCTTAGTCTTGGGGCAAACATCCCGTCAAGGAAAGCGTACTTGTTGAGCGGTTTTACAAGCCGTGGTTTCCGGAGACTCTGTGTGGTCTTGGCAGTGCACCTAATTCCTATCCTCTCACATCTACAATTTGCTGGTCAGCCGTCGCAGCCCTGGCTCAGCAAGGCCGATGACGACCACGTACCTCTCGCAGACGGCGTCGTCAGCGACGCCGTCGGTGTCGGTGAAATTACAGCGCGCTTTAGCATTCGTGCATGGGATGCAAGCCCTGCGCCTGCGCGGTGGACTTGTCGACCGTCTAGGGGGCGTAAGACCCTGCATCGTGTGGCTTCTCTTCTCTTTCAGCCCGCTGTGTGTGTTAGGGAGGCACCCGGAATTGATTGCGATCAAGTCTTCGACGGGTTAGACGGTCTTGCGCTCCTAAGCCGGTTGGGCGGGGTGGATTGAGGGGAAGGGAAAGAAGGCGTGAGAAACATGGAATTCATGGGGATATAAGCAGTGACTACGTAACACGGATTTGGATGCTCTTTGGCAGGAAGCCGGCGGTTGTTGTCGGATGGTTAGATGAGTTGATTCCAACGGGTTAGTGCTCCGGCGGCCAGCTGGGGTGCGGGATAAAAAGTACTTGGTCTCAGCCAGAACTACACCCATGACTCTTGTATCTTCTAGCAATTCGTCTGACCTATGGATTCCTCGGTAATGCTAGCGCACTGAGATATTAGACTTGTTTGTTGGTGGGTCTGGTGTGGCATCGTCTTACATCTTACATCGAGGCTACTGTGGCATGTTTCTTACATGATGCATCTCACCAGGCCAAGAGTGGCGAAAATTGCATTTTGTAACCTGCTAATCGTCTAAAATCTCAACAACCTCTACATTTCTCGGTATTAGCGAACCACCTGCCTGCGATGCCCTTTCTCGCCGCTGTGTTTCATTGAGCGGCTGCCACTCGCCATTCTCACTCATCACAATCGTTCTCGTGTCTGATCGGCCTGATTCGCGCAACTGCTTCACCACGTCAGAAAAGTAGTCGCAAATGCGCAACTGGCTTGGTCTCGCATCGCTGCGGCAAATTGGGCAGGCCCAGGAGTCGACCTGGCATGGCTCGTTCTGTTCGGATCCGGGTTTGTTTGGCCGCGATTGCAGCCAGTTTTCGAGATCAAAGCACTCCAGATGTTTGCAGTTGATACTGCGGATAGGCGTATTGCACATCTTTGAGCTGATGGGGTCGCAGATCGAGACGTTTGAGGTACTACCAACCAAAGCAACCTCGCCGCTGCCGCACAGCTCAAAACGGTGCCGAATTATTTCCAACGTCGCATCTGTAGAAATATGCGGATGGTTATGGATGCTCCTCCACACTGTGACATAAGCCTGGACAATTACTTGCTCGACCGCAATGAAGTAGTTGTAGCCGCTTTCACTCGTAGACAGCAAAGGCAAGCTAACGCGGAGCTCGTTGTAACCGGCCTTTACATCACAAGTCATCTCGGCCGGCAAATCTGTATGGAAGTGTTGTTTGCGACTCAATAAGCATGGCATCGAATTTATTGACATCTGTATCAGTTCTGGCCAAAACGTGCTGGTTTCTATCCACTTGGACTCACCCGGTTCAGGGTCTGCCTTTGGAAATCGACACACGCGCACCCTGAATCGAAGAGCGTTGTTTGCAAATCTCACGATTGGTAGACTCCAGAGGTCGGACTCGGTTTGCCACATAGGGAGGATCTGAAGTTGCTCTTCAGAGAGGGAGAATTTGATCTCTGTCAAATGTATGCTCACGTCTAGGTTTGTCGGCTGAACAATGAGCTTGTCGACATGCTGAAAGTACCGTATGTGCTTAATGTCAAGGGGCACTCGTCTGGGGCTACGCTGCCGCGATAGATGCAACCCAGCTTTAAGAGAAGCCAGGCCATAGGCGTTCTGCGGATATTCTGATTCGGGTATTCGTCGGGCGACTTTGCCAGGTGCCGGATCCAAGCGCGCAGTCAGGTTTGGAGTTGCGACATTGCCCCGAGGCACGGCGGGCCGGCCATGCTGAGCCATAGATACCGGCGAGTCCCGAGGCTGGGCTTGAGATGAGGCGATTGGTTGACAGGCGTATTGCATCATGTTTGGGCTACCTGCAGCGCTAGGCATTGACGGGCCCGGCTGGCGTATTCCCTGGTTTGTCGAAGAACCATTTGTGTTGAGCACTGGGGAGCACTGGGAGTGCTGATTCCGCGGGGACCAGTTGAGGGTACGCGATTCAGATGCAACGGAGCGTGAAACAGGCGTTTTCATTGGGATTTGATAGTTATTCTGCGCAGTTGGCGCTGTAGCCGCGGGAGCCCCTGGAGACGGCGACGCGTGAGGCATGGGAGCTATAAAGCATTAGCAAATATTGGGCTGGAGTAAAGTTAATACTTACACATATTGCGCATCTGAGAACGAACTCGTGAGACGAGAGTAATATAGGCCTTCGTCAATTCATTTCTACTGTGCCGAGCATACTCTGGAGTAACAGGGTTCTGGAACATGGCCGACTCAACGGCCCGGTCGCGGTTTAAGAGGTCGGCAAAGGCGGTTGCCAAGGGGCCATCCGGGCAGCCTAAGAGGCGACGACTGAGGGTAAAAATGAGATCCTGGACCGTGATTGACGAGCATCGAAGTATGGTTCTCATTTCCCAAGTGAGAACGGGAAATCCGCGATGGACGATGCGCGTTCGAAGGTCTTGCCAGTGCGCGGCAAAGAGTAAGATGAAGTCGATGATCTGTTTGGTGATAGAAGCCAGGATTGGCGCAGGAAGGAAGGAGTCAAAAGTTGAAGTGGGAAAGTCGACAAACCACTCGAGGTGCGTGGGCGAAAGAGCGTCGTTGGTTTTAAGTAGCACCGAGAGCGCAGCAAACCCCCGATCTATGGCAGCAGGTGCAGTTGAGTACATGAGGTTGTAAGCGTCAAGTTTATTACGTGACCAAGTGCAATATCTCTGATGCATAACGATGTAGAAAATATCGTGGCGGTGGCAGGCGGCGGACAATATCACTCGACGAGACTGCTGGAGATCATGAGATTGCGGGCTCGACATGCCGGCGTTGAGAGCCTCGTCTAGCTTGAGAATCCATTCCGAATACACCAAGTTGGCATCATCCGTGGGCCTACCGTCTGTGTGTAATATAAAGCTAGGTCGCGGCAAGGGTGGTGGGATTTCCATGACAGTTGGGCGTGGCTGGAGGACGGCGGACACGGCACCAGGGAAGGGCTGCTGAGATAGAAACGGCGAAGATGGTGCCGTGTGCAGAGGGTCCTGCGTTGGAGTGGAAGTCATTTCGAATAGTCCTGCTCGCGTAGAGCTGATGAGAGGGTGATGGGAGGCTAGGTGATGAGAGGGTGATGGGTGAAAATTCCGACATGCAGCCAAGCAAGTGAATGCTTGTGAGACGGGAACAGGCTCCGGCTAGACAAACAGCTATTCTAGCCGAGCACTGATTGGATTAGAGATAATGAACAGTAAGGTAGGCACTTGGTGGATGAAAGAACTTGGGGTATTGATGCCGAATACATGCGGATAGCCTGGTAGGTTTGCACACACAAGCTGCCTCGATGTGAGAAATAGTGTTTGCTTTGGCGCCCATGCTCGCCGGGTGCAGCATGCTGGACAGGCAGCAGCTTCGATAGCCGCGTTGGATTGGACGACTGCACGCGTCAACCCACCCAATTCCCATCAACATAAGTTCTTGTCTATATCCTACATCTGTGTGTATGTTAGAAAGCAAAAGAGATGACGGGCCGAGCCATGATGATGCCCACGTCGATGCCGTACGGCTTGGGCCGACGCGCATAGCGTTTGGCCAAGATTTCGACGGCGCAATGCCTGGAGCGGCGCCATCACTGAATACGGCCGTGGCTATATGCGCATCGACTATGCATGGGGGACATATGACAAGAAATGTAGCAAATAAAGAAGCCGGTGACATTGACTTGATATTGTGGGCGAGTGCCGAGGTAACTAGATGACTAGCACAGGTCACTGGTGTCCCTGGTATCACACTGGCGAGCTGAGGGGACGCGACGCAAGTGATCGATGTCCTCCAAATAACGGATTTATTAAGATGATCAGTGGCAGGTGGGTTAGATGATGCATCTTGGAATCAAAATAACAGGCTTCGACCCGCAATTACTGTGGTGCTGGTATCATCACAGTGGTAATAGAGTTCAGTTAGACAGTTGCTAGTTACCTTAGTTGCTTAGGTTGTAGGTAGTTTTGATGTTTTTAAGAGCTATCCGTCTGGAATATACTTGCAAAGTAATGACCGCTTCCCCGCCTTCCAGCTTGTCTCATCAGACAACAAGTACTCTTTTCCATCCCAGCTCACCTGCATGTCTCCATAACATGGAACGATACCTCCTGCATCGCCTTCTTGTCCACCAAGACCCCTGTACCTGGCCTGAAGCGTCCGCCACCGTACGACGAGAGTGACTTGCTGCCACCACTTTACCTTCTGGCACCTCACAAGAACCATCCATCAGTACAGTGGACCCAATGCAATACTGGCCGTTTTTAGTTTTTAGAGCAAAACAGTACCAAAATTCCAACGCACGTTGCTCGGAATTACATCGAGGCACTGTAATAGTTCGGCCACCATCTCCACCCACTGTCTTGGTCCCCACCAAAAGCCGCCTCCTCAACACCACGCCCTTCTCTCATCCCATCCTCCAAGACAGAGGCTTTCGACACATTTCATCGCGCCTTCGTTCCGCGTCAACGACCGCTGCGCTTCCTCTATACCCATTTCTGTCGCTCTTCGAATTCGAATTTACTGCGAGCCTCTCCGCGTCCTGCTCTCGACTGGCGCATGGGCACCCGATTGCTGCCTCGCCCTCTTGGCTACCCGCCCACCTCGACCCTGCTGCCTGCATGCCTGCCACCATTGCCGCCCCGACATAATTCATCGCTGCCCGGTTGCGGCACTCTGGTCGTGCTAAACTCGATTTAGGACTTCCACTGCCAGCTGCCAACTGCAGATGTCAACCATGTCCAGCCCAATACCGATGAGAGGTCCCAGCGACGGTCCTCGCCCAGACATCGGCGGCACCCTTCTTGTTATACGTACGTTCTCACTGCGACGGCCCTACGCTGTCCGCATCGCCTCTCAGCCGCTCACAGCTACATAGATGACTTCCATGCCCGGAGCTCCGATGAACTTAGCCTCGGCAAAGGCGACAGAGTCGAGCTAATTGAGCGCGACGACGAATTTGGCGATGGCTGGTTTCTTGGCCGCCACCTCCTCAATGGCAATACAGGACTATTCCCTGAAGGTTTGCCGCGCTGACCCAACATCCTCGGGCTATATTGACCATGTTTAGTATACACACGACCAGCTCCAAGGAATGTACCCGAATATTCAACCACTGCACCCGCCCCCGAAGAGACGACACAGCCCACTGCCGTAGCAAGGGTTCCAACTCCGCCGCTCGCCACAAGTCATGCCAACGATACTCCTGAGCCTTCAACTACCGAAGCAACCGACGCCTCCTCCATTTCGCCCTCGATTCCTCCCTTGTCCGAGTCTTCACTCACACGGGGTGCACCTAGCCCGACCGGTGACGCTTCACCTGTGGTGCCTCCACCAACCTTGCCTCTTCAACCAGCGTCTGGTCACGAGAGCCGCGTCCTCAGCGACACCCTTAATGTCATTGACGAACACATTACGCGCCTGCGATCTCCTGTCAGCACCGGTACCAACCTACGAAACCATGGAACTGACTCAGGGTCCGAATACAGTGCTCCACTTGACCATCGCATGTCCTACATTCGGGGCGAGGAAACGGACGAGGAGGAGGAGGTCTCCCACACGAGACAAGAGGTGCAAGCCTGGTCTGCTGATCAGGTTGCTGAGTATCTATTCGAAGCCGGCGTCGAGAAGCAACACTGCGAAGTCTTCCGGGACCAAGAAATTACCGGCGAGGTCATATTAGGCATGGATCAGAGCTCACTCTTCATCAAGGCATTCGATCTCGGCTCGGTTGGTCGCAGACTCAAGACTTGGCACAAGATCAAGGCCCTCCAAGATGAAGTAGCCAACAATGACAACACTGTCAAGCGCGGCACGCGATATGGTAGCGAGGCCGGCTCGGAAGGAGCAAGAAGCCGCAAAAGCCGTTCCAACACGGCCACGACAACAGGCTCCAACAGACCCTCATCCATCTCCACTAAACACCTGTCCCAGGCCCCCAAGATTTCTCCTGCGACCCAACTGACGCCCTCATCGCCGCAAAGGATGGCTGATTTCCGACCAGGCCACGCAAAGCGACCGTCCGCCGCTTCCATTCGAGAGTTGCACCACTCTAGACGTCACTCTTCCACTACCGACTTTTGTATTGCGTCCCCCGTGGTGCCCTCGCCATCTCTGCAACCTCTGTCTCCTATAGAAAGCCACAGAAAGCAGCCATCATTTGATCGCAATTGGACGCTTGGCAACGCTTTTGCGCAACCTGCAGCTCGCCCGCAGTCATCTGCTGGCCTCCCGGATATGATCCCGCTCGAAAGGGGTCAAGATTCAGCTGTCGATCTCGATAGAGGATATTTTTCCGGCACTGACGCCGAGGCTAGGCGACGAAACGTGCTTAAGAAGCGCGAGAGCATCGCCCACTCTCGGCAGTCCAGCTACGCCGAAGAACAGAGAGTTCGTAGCGCTACTGCGCTCTCTCGACACTCTCGCTTTGGCAGCGTCGAATCGTACCGTGAAGGGCCGTCTACTGCTGCCCAAAAATACTATGGGATTCAACCGGCTTCCCATGGCAGAAGTGCGTCGACAAACACCACCGAATCCATACGTCCTCTACCCCCGCTGAAAGACAACGTTCCGCCTACCGTCACGAAACTGGATCCGAAGCGTGGGCAGCCTGCGCCGAAGCATCAGGGGTTCAACTCGGACTGGCTATCGAATGTCGTGAGCCGTCCAGGCCAAAAGTCAAGTCGCAGTGGCATGCGCGCCATTTCCGAAAAGCTCTCCTTGGATCGCCGTGGATCGCCATCCGATTCCTCCACTAAGGATAGCGTATCATTTTCACCGGCCACTGGGCAGAGCACCCCTTCTGTAGCGCCAAGCCTAGACCAAGACTCGCCTGATGCCTCTAGCCTGCACAACAACAGCGCAGCCACTGCGCCGATCAAAGGTAAGAAGAAGGGCAAAAAGGGAACGAGTGCGTATACCCGTGGGCTGTTAAAGATTAGCCCCGCACAGGCCAAGGAAGGTGCAGAGTACTTTGGATGGATGAAGAAGAAGAGCTCGCATCTGATGACCACCTGGAAGCCACGATTTTTCGTCTTGAAGGGTCGCCGCCTGTCATACTACTACTCGGAAGACGACACAGAAGAAAAGGGTCTCATCGATATTTCTTTCCACCGTGTGCTGCCCGCCGATAACGATCGACTCACCGGACTCCACGCCACCATTACCAACGCCGTCGGTGGTCCGTCGTCGCTGCCCAACTCGTCCCTGTCCCCAGACTTGGAAAAGTCCAACGAGCCTGTTTTTATCTTCAAGCTGATGCCTCCGCGCGCGGGTCTCTCGCGGGCCGTCACCTTTACCAAGCCCATGGTGCACTACTTTGCGGTGCCCAACGTCAAGCAAGGCCGGCTGTGGATGGCCGCCATGATGAAGGCCACGATTGACCGCGACGACGCGGCACCCGTTACCACGACGTACCAGCAAAAGACCATTTCGCTCACCAAGGCCAAGCAAATGCGCCATCGGCCACCCGCTCTAATGAACCTCGATGAGATGGCCGACGAGGGAAAGAGGGCCGAGGGTGGCAGCAGCACCACCGCTGGCACCCACAACAGCCTCGGCATCTTTGCGGAAACGGACAGTGGCGTCTCGGGCCTGGATAAGGCCAGGTCCAACGGCGTCTTGTCCGCGGCCGACAAGGACGGGAGTGCTGGTGCTGTCCCGCAGAGCGCATAGGCTGCGCTATGTTGTCGCGGGCAGACCTTGTTACGCGGTAAAAAAATCATGATGATGGTATGAAATTATTATCCTTAACAAAGATTCATATACACAGGATGCAAAGGGGGCGTAATGAGAAAAAGTGAATGGGGGTTGACTGCTGGGACGAACAAGGTGATTCTGCCAGGGTTTTTATGTGTTTTTCTCATTTGGTGCTGGTGGGTTCTGATTGCGTATTTATGCGTTGCTCTGGGTCTATTGTATGGTGTCTTGAAATCTTGTTCCTTTCTTATTTTCTTGTCACCATATTACTCTGCCGACATTTTTGCTGCTTTTCACACTTGATTCCCTTTTTTTTTTAATCTCTATTTTTCTTCGGTACATACACCTTGGCGGAAACGTTTTGTCATTCAACGGGACACATGTAAGAGAGGGGAGTGAAAATTGAAGCGCTAAAAGAAGAAGAATTCTTATACAATTTAATCTTGACCAACTTCATCTCTTCCCTCGTCGTGCTGGAAATCTTGCCAGCAGTGAAAGCGCGTCTGAACGAACCCCAGAGAAATGTTACGGCAAGAGACACAAAAACGTTGGGGATTGTTCCAATTTAATTGGTGAGGTACAATCGTAGCTACATATATCATCTACTGGTATACCATGAGCTCATGACGCCTCCCATTTGTTCAAATGGGCCAACCGAGCTGGCAGACGTCCAATAAAAGTACTTTGACATATTTGTCATTAAATCCCCGTCTTGTCGCGTAAAACCACGTTTCAAGGCTAAAATAACGAGGAAAAACGCAAAGCCCGCTAACTACATGAAATTCAAAAACGCCTGGGGGGATGCTGCCCGTTATGGGTAGCCCTTTTCCATACACTGAGCACGCTAGCCCAGCTGCAGATTCATTCCTGCAAGGAGCTGTCTGATGGACTTCATCAGATGCTGCTCGACTCCCTCAAAGTTACCGCTCGTCTGGCCCTCGCCGCTCGGGGGAATAATGCTAGCGTCAACGAATCGAAGCACCCGATCAATCGCGGAGAGCGTCACAGCCTCAGCCTTTGCTTCGCCGAGTCGACCTTTAAGCGCCTGGATAGAGACATCTTTGAAGCCGTTCAATGAAGCGACAACCTTGGCCTCAAGGATTGGAGGGGGGTCACTTGCTGTCGTGCCACCTGGCGTGGGACTCTTGTTCTTCGTGAAGCCGTCAATGACCTGACGGATACCCTTGATACAAATGGCCTCCATCTTGTCATTTTCCGTAGCGTCCTTCTTCAGACCAATACAGCGATTCAGTGCTGACATGACAATAGCCTCGGCTTTGGGGTTGCGAGCCTTTTTGAGGTTGTCAACCAGACCATTTTTGAGACCGACAACCGCTTGCAGTAGGCGCGGCTCGATGACAGGCCGGGGGGCAGTAGAACTCGACGATGAAGCTGTCGCTTTGCCTGCAGCAGCGGTCTGTGACTGAGATGTGCCAGCTGGACCAGGGGAGGGCCTGGCGGCAGCTGGAGGGACAAGAGCGCTGGGTTGTGCTGGCGTTTCAATCTTGATAGGGCTGACCGAAGGGACAGGCCGCGCAGCGTACGGCGAGCTGTAAGAGCTAGCCTGTGGAACTCCCGTTGGCGGTCTTGCTGGCGCAGGAGGAGGACCATAAACACCAATCTGCGTGGGCGCTGGTGGTTGAGCCGCAATTGGGGCAGGGGGTTGCTGTACTTGTTGCTGAGGCTGGGGTTGGGGCTGAGGCTGAGGCTGAGGATGAGGATGAGGCTGATGATGCTGCTGCTGTGGTACTTGTTGCGGTACTTGCTGAGGTACGAGCTGCTGCTGTATCTGTTGCTGCTGCGGTACTTGTTGCTGTTGCTGCTGCTGTTGCTGCTGAGGTTGAGGTTGCGGCTGTTGCGGTACAGGGGGTGCGTATTGTAGAGGCCGCTGTTGGGCTGGTTGACCGGCGTAGGGCTGGACTAGGTAGCCTGTGACTGGGGCTTGCCCATAGCCAGGAGCCATGTGCTGCTGATGTGCATTATAGGGGTACGCATATGGGCCATATCCTTGTGCAGCCATGGCTCGATCCGGTGACGACGCTTTGCGTTTCTTTCCGGCGTCTAGTTCCACTCCAGGAACGCGCGACCACAAGTTGGTCGTCTCGTCCTTTTTGAATGCCTCGTTTCCAATAAGATTATGACGGACACTGCTCTCCCATCCTTTCGTTTCGGTATGGAAATAAAACCATGGGTATCTTAAGCATATTCTCTTATAGATCTGCTTCAACGTAAGGCCGTCGGGACCAGCAGCGGTCAGCGTCTCGTCGATTAATACGCCGTAATTCTTGTTGGGCTTTTGAAGTTGCTCCTCAGTGTATTCATCAATCTTGAGCTCCAATGGTGGTGATTTGGGGCGAGATTTCTTCTCCTTCTTCTCCCGAGCTCTTCTTTCAGCATCGGAGCCCTCGGCACCATCCTCGCGCGGTTTGCGAGGCTTGTATTTGCGCTTCTCCGGCTGGTCTCCGGCATCCTCTGGAAGGGGATGCTTGCGCGGTCGGCCCACCTTGCGCTTCATAGGGGGCTCAATGGGGGGTGGCTGCGGAAGGGTTTTCTTCGCCATCTCTTGCTGCTGCTTTTTGAGTAGGCGCTGCTCCCGCTTCGACATGATACCGTTCTTTGGTGGTCTCCCAGGCCCTCTCTTCCTAGGTACTTCTGGCATAAGGAGATTTGACTGGTCTGCAAAGGCTTCGCTGTTGATGGCCTCTTCGCCTTCCATTATATCTTCTTCGCCCATGTCTTCGTCACCGTCAGCATCTTCGCCAAGGTCTGACAACTCGGGTAGTGAGCCCTCAACGTCTGACAGCTCATCGCTAGTTTCTTGAATTTGACCATTCCCATGAGTCTGTTCAAACTCGAAGCTCATCTCCTTGCCACCATGCGTCTGGCGCTTCTTGGCGGGCTTCTTTTCCTCCTCGAGGTACTCTTCGGCTCCTGTTCTACCCCTTTCGACGCCATTGATGATGAAACGAAAATCAATGTCCTTGATCTGTAGACGGTCACCACATCTGAGGACCACTTTGTCGCTCTTGTAGTGAACATCCTCACAAAAGAAGCCGTTTTTGTGCAGCGGGATAGCCTCAAAAACGCCTTCTTGTTGATTGTATGCAATCTTGAGATGTTCGCGGGAAATGGCCTTGGTCTTATTTGCAATGTTGGGACCTGGAGAATGAATGCCGATAAAAGGAATGTGCCAAGGTGAAGGCCGTAATGATGTGAGGTCGACAGCGGCTGCGCCGGGTGTATGTGAAACGTATTGGCGGTTGGATATTATGTTGTCGCTGTTCTCTTCGTTCTCCGGCTGAGAGGATCCGGCGGTGCTCGTTTTACGGCGCTTCGCTGGTCGGCCGCTCTCTTCGCTATCGGATTCGGGACCAAGCATGCCACCTTCTTCAGAGACATAAGACTTGCTAAACTTGTTGCGATCCTGCATCATGGGCAATGGCGGGGGTAGGCCCATGTTCGCGTTTTCCTGGGTGCGGCGTTTATGAAAGTCTGCGCGTTTTTCATCGTGGCGGGCCTGCTGCATAGCACGCTGGTCACGGCCAATAATGACAGCATATGTTGTCATCTGAAAGACGGAATCGGCAAACTCTATTCGCGCAAATGATTCCAGGCCCTTCTCGGCAGCAGCTTGGAAGGCGGTGTTACCGTGAGCCAGGCCGTGGACGCTGGCATCCATGAGGTTGGGCAGAGTCACCTGGGATGGGGTGACGGTGGGCGGGGGTGACATTGCCGAGGGCGCATTGGACATGGAAGCGAGGGCCATCATCATGTATGCATGGTGATCGATGCTGGAGGTAGCGGCGGGCGTGAAGGGTGTCGAAGGGGCATACAGCTCCGTGTTGGCCATGGTGGCGTCTTGCATCTGCAGAGATGTGTCGACTTGTTGAATACCATTAACCGTCCGGGTCGCGGTTCGGTTTACGCTGGGTTGGGCGTTTACGGGTGTCTGCGCGGCTGTTACTGCATCATGCGCAGTGTGCTGTGTATTGTTTGCGCCAGCAGCATTCGTGGTTGGGGTAGTTGGTCGCTTTGTTGTGGTCGGGGACCCATTGGTAGCGTCGTGGTCAGTGGCGGTCGGCGCGTTCGAAGTTTCGGCCGCCTCGACGGCGTCGGAGGCCATGGGTAGTGTCGAGTTGGTCGTCATAGGCGGTGTCGCAGAGTAGTGCGACTGATGGGAAGGAGCGGTGGCAGTGGCAGCGGCGTCGGGGAGGCCCTGATGGCCTGCGCTCGACGAAGTCATCGCTGCTACCGGCAAACAGCTCCTTCGCCCTCCGTGCCGAGGGGGGTTTGAATGCAAATCTGCACTCGCGCGCGGCGACAGCGGGGAAGATGAAAAAAAAAATAGGTTGCAGAGCAGTTCGTAGAGAGGGGTGATGCAGCCCGCGCGGGTGGTCGGTTGAGTACACTTGGACGGGCGTCGTCGTCGGTTTGTTGACTGGACAGCCTTACCTTAGGCAAAAGAATTTGGCAGGCGCGGGCGATGCGTCGGGAATCTGTTTCTGCTGCGGCGTAGACAGGGCTCCATCCAAGCATAGCGCTGTAGCAGCAGTGGCCATGGCGCGTTGTGATTGGCTGAGCGGAGTGACTCCTCGCTCTTTGGGGGGTCAGTCTAGCGTGTCCACTGCCACTGGGGCGAACCATGTGCCTCCAGCGCTACCTGTTCCAGGCGGTGCAGCCTGCCAGAGCAAAAAGGCACAGCAGAACACAGAACAGCGTCAGCCCCAAATATTCTCAGTGGGCCGGGCACGGGCATAGCGGGGGAAACACGATCGGCTGCGGCCGCAATGGCAAAGTGTAAGTCGGGATCAAAACGCCATGGTGTCGCATAAGTGTGTGCGAGGAATCTCCAGGTAGCACATATTTACCCAAACTTGTCTCTTCTCAAGGAAAGCGGCTGCATACACGCTTGCTTGCCGCCTACCAAGACTAGGTGACACTCACATGATGCATCCCATTTACTGGGATTCAGGTCTGTGTCGAGGCCACCCTATCCTGGGGCACGACGAATGAGTGACAATAGAGCTCTGTAGAGATGAAAATAGTTAGCAAAGAGAAATTCCATGGTTTCTTAGTTCGGTGCCGCTCAAATTCCACCATTGGATCGCTATGGCCACTAGAGCAGAAGCCGACAGCCGCTGCTTCATGGACGGATAACCAGTGCGAATTCAGAATTCGCCTGACCCCATTCCTTTCATCAACAAAAACCCCTTCTGGTAAGCTCAGTTGCAGCCCCTACTTCTGGCGCAGTTTGCCCGCCAGGGCTTGCTCCACGAATGCCGGCGCTTAATGCAACACCACAGCTTCCATCCTCCTCCACTCGTGTCATCTGCGCACCAATGTGGCACAACACCATTGTTTCTCTCGCCGCCGGGCAAATGAATGAATTCAACCAATTTTAGAACAATAGTATGGTCCTACTAAGCTTGAAACGGTCAGAACCGCTTCGTTTGTATGATAAAGCCCAATAGCCCGTTCAATAGACTCTCACTGTCTCTACACCTTCATTGTCCAACGTAACACTCTGGCCTATTTCTTTCCTTTGTCATTTGTTTTACTGTCCTTTTGTTTCATTCGTTCCATGTATTGAACCAGCGCTTCTCGTCCTGTCCCTATTTACTCTTCTTGCCTTCGTCGCTGCTTCCCAATTCCCATCTCATTGGTATCCTCTCTCAGCAACCCTCATTATGAGCCGCATTTTCGACCGTCTCCGGCCCGCTCGCCTTGCCAATAAGAAATGGAGCAAACCCGACGTCTGGCTCCCTAAGCCTTTGGTCCTCGCAGACAGCTTCCACTCGCGCTACGTGCGCATGCTGCTCGACCAGGACAAGATCTCCACGGCACACAACATCCTCGCCGCCTTCTTCGTGTGGTTACTGCTGGCCAGCTTCATCGTTATCCCGGGCACATTCACCAGCATACAAAAGCAAATCGAAGACAATGGCGATGGAAAATTTCCCAGCAAAGCTGCCGAATCCATCGTCAAGGGCGTCAAGAACCTGGGGCTCCTGGCGCTGGCCGCCATCATGTGCTCCATTTCTGTCATTGGCATGGCATGCCTTTCCTTTATCCACATGAAGAACTACGTCTGGATTTCGAACAAGCTCTTCCTTCCTGGAGTGGCCAATTGCATAGCCGGTCTCGTCTCGACCTTTATTGGTGTCTATACGCAGCAGAAAGGCGTCTGGAGCGTTTCGGCCAAGGTCATCGCCATTGTGGAAGGCTGCGGCGCGGCAATCTGTGGCACGGTTTGGTTCGTGGTCGATCACTTCTTTCTCTCCAAGGTCAAGAACACACACGGTTCACATTACGATGGATGGCCTAAGGAGCGACCAGCATGAGCTGTCGCCTAAATACTAGGGGCAAATGGTCTAGAGTAGACAGGATTAAGGCTTCATAGTTGTTTATAGCGACACTCGCTCAGGTAGTATTTGCATCAGACACAAACCTTGAATACATTACCGCAGTAGCGGATCGCGTTCACTAGCTCCCACAACTTCATTGACCTTGCGAACAAACCTGTCAGACAAACGGAATGCCCAGTGGCACAGCAGCCCCGCGAGAAACCCAACAGCATCGTTTTTGAATGCCAGGATACAGGCAGTGGTCATAAGCATGACAGTCCAGCGCTCCATCCGCTCTTCCTCAGAAGGGCTGCGCAACTTTCGTGTGATGACAGATAAGCCTCCACTCTGCTCGGAAGAGTCTTGCCAGAGATCACGGGCTCCTTGGTTGAGTGAGTGTCCAACCTTGGCAAGCTCCAGACCGGCAGCAAGAACCATAATGCCCAACAAACTCTTGGGATATTGACCCAAGAGGCCGATGAGCGTGCTTCCGAAGAAGAGGCCCAGAATAACTTTTACAGCTCCCAGGAATATAATGCTGGCGCCGCTGCGCGCACCAAAGCGATATTGGGCTGCCAACCCACCCGATCCATGGCATACAGGCATGGCACCAAACCAGGTACACGTCAGGTTCATCATGGCCACGCTGAGTCCGATGGCCGTCACCGATGGAGTGGGAGCATTTGGAAGTAAGTCAGCAGCAAGCGCTGTTACCGCAATCACCGAGTTGAGGGTTGTAAGTGGCAGCTGGCCGATGGCCATGTAGATGGGAGAGGTGTCCTTGTGGCCAATCATAGTCGGCCGAATGAACTCGGGCTGCCACAAGCTAAACCAAGGTAGCCTCTGGTGAGTTCGAACAACCTGAATGAGGGCAAAAATCAAGCCTAGGAGGAAGAACGCCAGCGCGTAGGGAAAGCGTTGCAGACGCTGGGTTGCGATGAGAACCAGAAAGGCAAAGATGGCCCATAATCGGTTGTCGAGAATGGGCTGCAGCCACCCCAGGGGCTGCAGCTGCGACGATCCGGCGCCGATGATGAGCGACAGGCCGGCACCGAGCTGAATGCCCTTGACAACGGGGATGGGGACGACCTTGACCGCCCAACGTAGCAAGCCGGTGACGGACATGACAAAGATGGCCGCGCCGACCCAGAGACCGGCGCCCGCTACACCCTCTATGGATGAGTCGCCCCGGTGCGCAATCGCCGCGGATGCAATCGCCTGGCGACGGTTAGCGGGAGGGATGTACCGCAGCGGGGTTGGCGCGTACCTTCATGGGCTGCACGGGCAGGGGGATGCCAAAGACGACACCGGAGATGATGTTGAAGACGCCGGAGAAGACCAGCGTCGCGTCGAGGAAAATGGAGCCTTGGATGGCGAGTGCAATCATGAGCGGCAGCAGCGTGCCCAGGTCGCCGAGCGAGCCCGATATCTCCGCCAAGGGTGCATTACGAAAGGTGTCGAGGTTGTGGCGGTTGCGCTTCTTGAGATGGGACAGGATGGAATTCATTCTTAAAAGGAGCCGCGGGCGGTCACTCTGAGCCTGGGATTCGGCGATAAAGGAGAGCAACCCCTCTGTCCAGGTTTGGCGTAGGTCAAGGAAACGCGAGTGTCTTTGGGGTGCATGGCGAGACAAATCATCATGCAGGTTGATGGAGGTGACGACGACGGCACTTTGAGGTGTTGCTTGCCCCACGTGAGCTACTGTAGAGCGACGTCATTTGGAGGGCGCCGATGGCCGCCTCACAGCCTGAAAAGCAATAGCACCAAACCGATGAGGGACGCATTGTGAGAATCAGGAAGCTAATTATAAAGAAAAGGCAAGAATTGGGTTGACGATGCCTGGAAGCAAAGCACCAGATGAGAACAGTATGTGCTCCATGATCACTCATCAGTGATGACTGGCCCGCCAGGAACCCCGTCGTCAATGACAGAGTACGAATTACGCCGAGTGGGAATGAGCATTGTTTCGAGAGACAGGACTCACGGAATAGCGCCGCATTCTCCGCCGTTGGGGCCGCGCCGGAATGGGCTGCATTATACCCTGGAGCACTAGCCGCGTTCTTTGGTCCGGGTTGTCTGGCGGCGCAAATACGATGGTGAGAGGAATAAGCAAAAGCGCGGTCTCGCTCATTGGAGTTTTGGTGCCGGTGATTATGCGTCGCATTGCTGGAACGACACCAGGAACCGGCTTGCCCGAGCATTGACAAAGTGTGGCAGTGGGTTGCGTAGACCAATCTATCTCACACTTGAATTTTATTTTCTCACGTATCCTTTTTGGCATAGATGTGCAGAGTAGTTGTGTTCGCATCGATTGTTCTAACTATTGTGTCACCTTATAATGTTACCTGGCGAACCGGTATCGAAAGCTGAAATGAGCCGCCAAAGCTGATGATAATAGTTAGTTAGGTGCATCCAGGAACAAACTCGGTCGCCCATCCAATCAAAACTGGGTCAAATCATCGCAATTTGTCCGCTCTCTGAAATTTCTACAAGGGTCTTTTTCTAGCCGTTCTCCACTTGGCCGGTCTTGTTGTTGACACCAATTCATAGTAAGAAGTCGGCGACTGCTTGAGGAAGTTTTCCAGTGGAGACTGCGACGTGCAAAAAACGCAGACAAAAAGACTGGGACGCTTTATCATTGTACCATGTATTCCGGGGGGACGTTCGGCATTGTGCCACGGACAAAGTCGATGAAACAGGCCCGTTGAACCACCCAAGTCATCTATCGGCGGTCACAAGGCTGTCTGAGTCGCTGGACCGACAGACCGTGCAGACAGAAAACAATCTCACTGTTCTAGCGCCTGTGCCAAGAAGGCGCCGCATGCACGTGTATTGCCAATGCTACTGCTGTTCCTTGGTCGCCCAGGCCGTGGTGGCAGTCGGGTTGTTCTAGTAGGTAGCTGGGCGCAAACTCGTCGAGCTTGGCCGCCACCCGAGTGTTTCCACTGGAGAAACGGCCCCAAGTGCCAAGTCCGCGGGGAAGAAACACTGTCACACAAACTGGATAGCAGGGGCCTTTCCCCGAGCCGCCGCCTCGTTAATCACGCATGTTGCGACTCATGTCGGAGGCTCCGTGTGTGCTGGTGGCGCCGCGACAGGGGGGGAGGGCGTTTTGGGTTTCGCAAAGGATTCGGATATTATTAAGGAATGGCCGCTGCTCAACTGCAGCGACGAGAAAAGCTTACTCTGCTGCATTATTAAGTACTTGCAGGCTCTCGTGATGGGCTACCAGCATGCTTAAATTCGCGCAGCCATCAACAGTCGCCCCTGTCGCCGCCCGCCGATATATTAGTACGCAATGACACTGGGGCGAAACCTCAGCGTCACTGCTGGTGCTGGAGTTGTGTTTCTTGTCTCAACCAATAGTGTGACCTGTCTCTTCTCTTCTTCTCTTCTGCTCTTCTAACTAAAGACTGGCATGTAACACTCCCCGGATCATGTGCATGCACAATGTACATGCGCCAAGTTGCATGCTCTTTCCACGAGAAGAAAAGAAAAGAAATGGAAGCAGCTGGGATGCAGCAATCTCAGGCTACAGGGTGCGGCCGCATGCCCGCAGTAACATCGATGCCGTTGTTCCGAATAGGCGGCGTTCCCGCTGAGCTACATTGGAGACGACGGCGAAGAAAAAGCCCTCCTAGTAAAGGGAAAAAAAAGCCTCTGACGCCACTGTACTACTGAATGGGCCGCTAATTACTCTATTGGTTCCGAGGGCTCTGGCCGCCTTTGGTCGAGACGCCTTTTTTCCTTGGTCCCCTCACTTCCGTTTCGCCCGATTTTGCCGTGGGCAACTTGGCTGGTTTTTCTTTATCCACCTTCTCTGGTCTTGTTCTCTCTCGCAGGGCGAAGCCGAGCCCTTGGAGGGCAGCCGGGCGACGCCCACGGCTTGGGGTTGAGGCACTTTCGGTGTCATGTTGGCCATAATGCATCAGTCATCGTCACAGGTACATGCACATTGACCCTCGGACAGACCACTCACCTAAGAACTAGTTAACGGTTTTGTTGCACCCCGAGTACCTGGATAGGGTTTTTGGTTCGTGACTCTGGGAACTAACCCATTGCATCGGCAGACATGGAGCAAATGGGAAACAGACCAACAAATACGTCACTAACATTAGCGAAGGAAGATAGTTAATAAATGACCGATCAGCTCACCGTCTAAACAAACCCATCGTACGCCCAGCACCCAAGACGAACAAGGACCAGGTTCAGAGACACCAAACCACGATCGGTGGTCCGTGACGTGAGGCCCCGCTTTTCCACTTCCCTCGGAGTGCGCATGGAGCTGGATCAACAAAATCATCCTCCAGTCCGCTTACGCGCTGCCACCTAACTTGTTGCTTCTCCATCCTCCTTCTCTTCCCATCCAAAGAAATCTTGATCCCCAAGGTAAGAAGACTGCCAAACTGTCCCCCCTCTGCTACTGCTTCGGTTCCCAATCGCATGGTCCAATTCGCACTCGTCTCGTCGCATCACCATGCCTCCCCCCTGCTGCCGGGCCGTTTGTGCCTCGCGGTGGAGCGCAAGGAGAGCGAAAATTATCATCCACTGCGCCAAAAAAAACAACCCGCCCCGGAAATCGACCGCTGCAATCAACGTTCCTCCCGGCCAGCAACTTCACCCTCACGGCGACGCGCGCGATGCAATTGGATCAATCTGGATGCCAATTATAAAGGCACTTCGCAGCTGCAGTTGGAATTGCTGCATTTTCATCCCGTCTCGATCCAGCCGACTCAATTGAGGGCTTTTTTTGCGTCAAGACTGCGAATGCTAACAGGTGGCCGCCACAGTCTCATATCCATCACAATGGCCGCCATCGTCGCCCACGCCCACCCCGGCCTCGTCATGCACGAGATTGCCAAGCGCTCAAAGAGCTGGCCCGCCAAGAACGTCGGTGTCATGGTCGTCTTCTGCATTGTCTTTGTTGGTGCGTAAACCCATAACCCCTTTCCATCCGCCTGCCTCCTCGTGCAGCCGATTTGGCCGTATCGATGTCCTTTTTCCATGGCTAATACGAGGGACGATAGTCGGCGTCGGTATCGCCGCTCTCTGCGTGGGCAAGTGTCTTAAGCGCCGCAGGGAGGCCAAGCCCGAGCTGTAATTGTAAACCCGTGTGATGCGAGACTGAAGGCTGATGGGAGGACCCGGGGGCAAGTTCTTTTTTGTTTGGGATGAGGACGGAATGACAGTACTGTGGACAATTGGCAAGCGTCCTCTTCGCATCTCGCGGGGAGAAACGGGCACGAACACTGACAACGTCACCGCCGTCGACATCGCCTCCTCGGATCCTGCTCCATCAAGCGAATCAAACATGACAACCAAACTGCATTTTACGCGCATCAATTACCGACCTCTCTTGTTCGTCGCCGTCGCCTTTTTTCATGGTGCAACGAGCCTGCCGGAGTACTGAGTTGGGGCATTATATCCAACGGGCGCGCCTGTTTGATTTGGAGTCTTTGTTAGATCTTGTTTGGTTTGTTTGCATGCTGGGAGACCGTTGGACAGCGATGCAGTGTTGCGCCCGTGCGATGCTTGTCAGCTCCATCAGACTGCTGTATTCTATATTTCTAATACTACTGATACCTCTTTTGCATTCTCTTAGTCTCTGTGGTTCCATATGCTTGTTGCCCGGCATGCTCTCGTTAATCGCTGAATCGACTGAAACGTCTCTATTCTTGATGTAACTATTATCGCCCTGTGCTTTTGATCTCTATATAGAATGTACCCAGTCAATATCAGACAACCCTCAACGCCAAGACGCCGATTCCCCCGCATCGTTCCATACGTTTCACAGGCCCTCCCTGGCAAGCATGTCGGCCATGTCCAAGTAAAACGCCACGGCATTAAACGTCCTCTTCCTGCCCACCAAGGCGCGCAGCGCCCAGCGCACACGATTCGTCCAGTTGATGAGGTCCAGGTGGCTCACGCCGACGAGCGTGCCGCGGTAGTCGCCCCAGCGGCTGCTGGCGACGCTGACGAGGCCGTCATTGGGGCCCTCGGCGTCGCGCACGACCCGGTACGGCAGGCGGAAGACGCTGAGCAGCGAGGGCGGGGTCGGCGCCACGTCGGCGCCGTACGAGAAGTAGCGCACGCCGTGTGCGTCGGGCGTGGCCGGGTTGAACGTGCCCGTCATGTACCGCGTCGTGAGCTGCGCAAAGGCCTCGGTGCCGAGCCCCGCGCGGGCCAGCAGCCGGTACAGCCGTGGCAGCTGGACCGGCGACGCCGGGTCCAGCAGAAAGTCGGCGACGGGGCTGCCGCGGTGCGGCGTCGCAACGGTCGTCAGCGAGGCCACGCGCAGCGGCGACTGCGCGAGCAGATGCGAAATCATGTACCGCGCGTCGAGCCCGCCCATGCTGTGCGCGATGATGTTGACGGGCGAGCAGGCCCCGCCGCCGCCGCCGCCGCCGCGCTGGGCGGCCGCGATGCCCTCGGCGAGCATGGCGGCGCGCACGGCGATGGAGCTCGACGGCGGCACAGAGGTCGTGAAGACGGTCGCGCCGTTGGCTTGCAGAGCGTCTTGGATCCCGTGCCAGTAGTGCAGCGCGGGCAGCCGCGGGACGAGACGCAGCTCGGAGAAGCCAAAGAGGCCGTGGGCGAGCACGATGGGGTACTTGGGCGTGGCTGGTAGTAAATTAGCTCTTCTGCTTTTGCTTCTGCTTTTTTTTATTGCAGATTCAGAGATTGGCTACGAAAGATACGCACCATAATGTTCTCGTAGTTGCGCAAAGTCGTCGACTATTTCTCTTCCTACGCCGGGTATCCGCGGATCGTTGTGGACGCGCGCAGAAGCGCAAAACGTGCGGGAGCCATGGGTAGGCCGCGGTGACAGCAATGGCAGTGGGCGCTGGAGAATGGCACGCCGACTCATTGCCTATTGCCCCGCGGGCAGCTCGCGGGTTGAGTTGATGTGACGGAGCAGTCTGGAGGGTGCAATTGCACAAGCTTGCGGTTGGACAGATGTGTGAAGGATGGTTTGATTGCTGTGGCGCTGGGTGGCTTTGTGCCTGACGTCACCCATGCGCCGAGTAGTGAGCACCCGTTGACATGTGCGTAGCCCTACTAAGCAACCATGCAGGGGACAATAAAACAGGTAGCCAGAATACAAGGTAGTCTATATACTATATTAAAAAAGTTTGTAGAGTATAATAAGGAAGATTAGAAAGCTGAGATTAAAGTTAATAATAACTAAGAAAATGACAGAGTAAGGAAGATGACAGTTTTTTCTAAATCGACGTTTATCTATCTCTATAGTTGGCAACCTATAAGTTAGACGGGGAATCAGAAAGCGAGAGAAATCAAAGGAGTAACTCTGAAAATAATAGCAGGGAAGATAGGGAGGATAAAGCTTGAGAAGTGACGGTTTGTTGGTCATACTGTTGCTTGGTTTAACATTCACTACCTCACGCCTTTGCCTTGAGATGGGTATCGCGTAATATTGAAATCTATGCATATTCATGAGTAGTGCTATTGGCACAATGTATTTTTTCCCTGCCTCCCAAATTCCGTTGTTTGGGTTTATATCTTCTCTATGTCATATCAGTTCTTTTGCGGCGGCAGCTGGCTCGGCGCATTCTCCGTCGTCACTCCGCTAAAGGGCGGGCGAGGGTTGTTTTGGTCAAACGGCATGGAGGCGCTGTCGGCCATTGCTTCGCTATAACTCGGAGGCGCATCTTCATATTCTTCCGCCTGTGCAGCTGGCGGCGGCTGCGTTGGACCACTAGGTCGTCGCAGAGGTAGCGGCGGTGCGTGCGGCACCGCTGAGCCGTTTGCACCGGAGACAGACTGTCGAGGAGGGAGGTGGGGTCGCAACTCGCTTTGCGAGAATCCTGCATTTGTGGCTGCTTCCACGAGTTCTCTGGGAGGCTTGATGCCAGAGTACACATCCACGGCCGCGAAGTGAAGCGGGAGTGTTATTGATTCAGCAACAACCCTGCTATTTCTCTTCCCTAGCCGCAACGTCAGGAGAATTTGGACTTCGTAGCGCCGACTTATATTGCACGCAGTGAATGATGGCGCCACAGTATTCGGGAGCGGTTTCTGGCTCCAATACTGGTCCGGCACGGTGATTTCACTACCGACCTCGCCAGTGGGTGTGACGAGCGGCACTTCCAGCTGGGGATTCGATGCTATGATCCAGCGGTTGCTCTTTTGCAATGTTTGCCCGTGCGCAGACAAGGTGGTTACTCCAATTAAATCCATTTGAAACGACGTCAGATAGACCTGTTGCGGGTTGTTGACGAGCTTTTTCGCGATTAACCTGAGCGGGACGGGCCGGTTGCACGTCAGGATCAAGGGATGTGGCAAACGCGCAGACAACTCGACGGACTGCGGCGGGGGTGGCGAATCGGCGGGCGAGTCCAAGTCGTTCTTTTCCTTGGAACTCTTCTTCATGCCGAACATGGAGTTTTTTAGCTTGCCCGGCGGCGATGGCGGGCGCGAGGTGAAGCTAAACGGTCTGCGCGCAAAGGATTCTTGGCCAACACCGGCCGGCCTCGGCGGCTCGATGGGCATGAACTTGAATCCGAGCTGAAAGCGCCAGTTTTCCTTCAAGAGGCCCGGTCGCTGTACCGTTACCTTAATGTAGTATCGAATTTCGGCATCGTTGTATACGCCCGAGAGCGACGGCGGCAGCGTCTTGGTTACGTGGCGGAGGTAGAGTTGTCGTGTGCCGTCCATGAGACGGATGCCGCGGGCGCCAAACATGCCTGCGCCGGACAGGCTTTGGTTCGCCAGCGAGGCCATGGCGTGCGAGTCGCTGCAGGCGTTGTTGATGGGCACCTTGAACTTGAACGGAAACTGGTGCTGCCCCGGCTGCAGCGGAAAGGACCCAAACGGATTGTTGGTGCTGGTGTGGTACTCGTCGGGAAAGACCTGCTGGACCTTGTAGAGGATCTTGTGGCTTTCTGCGTTGATGGCGGCGTTGGACGTGGAGTAACCATCGCGATTGCCGCGGCCGCCGCCGTTTTCAAACGGCGACGGTGGCTGCAGGCTCGTGTTGGACTCGCCTTCGAGTTTGACGATGATGCCGCCGATTTGCTCGGGGCGGTTCAGGTGCAGGAGTACCTGTCCGCTGATAATGTCTAGATTCGTAAAGAACTCGGGCTGGTTGTCGAGAGTGATGCGCATCGACATGGTGGCGGGGGGTGGAGGGGTTAGGCGCCGAACGGTCGCGAACCTATGGAATCGAAGTGAGGTGATGGAGTAATGTATGCGAGACTGGGATCAGCCCACTAATTTAGTCGGTGGTGGGTGGCGCAAGCAAGGCACGCAATGGACAAAGAGGTGCTTTGATGAGAGAAATAATAGAATGAGCGAGATGTATATAAGGACTTAATGAAAGAGAAGCTTTGAACAAAGAGTATGAAACAGAGGAAAATCAGCCCGAGGTTGTAGGTACGGGATTGTGGCGGCCACGCAAGACGGCGGTGGCTCATTATAAGCGGATAACGGAGATCAGAATAGTAACTAGATGAGGCGCAGTTTTCCAAGATATTAGGAAATTGCTGCCTGGTTTTACGCGTTTTACGCTGCCGCAAAGTTTGTCCAGCTTTGGAAAGGCGTCTCGCCCATCGCCCATCGTCCCACCAATGACACTGTTAACCGGAGATCGCGGGGCGCCGCGGCCCTCGCGAACTGGTCCCGGACTAGTTTTCAATGCTTCATGCATAAGATGTCTATAAAATGCGCAAGGTATATAGTGCTCGGCGGCAATGCACTTGTGGTTTCTTAACAACAAGACTTTACCCTACGAAGCGATGCCTTCTTCCTTGTCCTGTTTGTTCATCCTGCCCAGTCAGGTTCACCACAGCGCAAACCGCAAACGCGCTGTCGCACAGCTTGCCGCATTGGTTCGCACCGCCAGTGTGAGCCTTGCGCACAACATCGGCTTGATGTTAGCAGCCATGCTGGTTGCAAGTAGTACAGGATCAGAACGTGGCAGCATTGTTGCAACGACGCAAACAATGTAGAAAGATGGCTCGTGGCATAAATTCCGCACCCCGACAACATTCCGATGTCTGTGGTTTGTTGCACCAGCAAGGGCTGACTGACGTGGAGTGGCAATGATATCCTGGAGACGACCGGACCGGGCACGCTCAAGGTCCAACGGCATCCAAAGACCACAGGCACAAGTCATTCCAAATGGCTGTCTCATCCCTGCAGACAGCCCTGCCGCAGTCCTGGCATGACCGTTGTCCGCCTTGGGCAAGGCGGTCGCCGAGCGGTTACCTCGAGGCTTTGATTTGACCACTCCCGAAATCGTGCATACAGGTGTCGCACTGGCATCCCAGCAACCAAGCTGTTCTTGCTCCCGCCTGACAGGGGGCACCGGCTGCATTGCATATCAGGCCACTGATAGACAACAGCTTTCTGAACGACAAATGATACAAATCAGCGCGGGGATTCCCCGCAATTCGGCCACCCTTCATCACATCATATGCATCTATCAGGTTTTTGTACCCCCCGCGTCCGAACAGACCAGACGATAAACGGCCGCTGCACGTTCACCGTGCATTGGCACCTCGGACTGCACCCTTCAGCAAAGTCGCGGGACACAAGCTGCAGGTCGCGCTCGAAATGCGCCCAGGGTGCTACAATTGCACCAACCAACGGAGCCCATGTGTACAGATTTTGACATTGAAATGGCTGGGACCCCATGAGCACGTCGCTCCAGTCTCCCACCCCCTTGGTTGCTTCTCGGCAAGGCTGTGCGTCTGTCTGTACGAATAGTCAGTGTTAGTGACCCAAACGGCCGGAAATGTATCGATAAAGCAAAGACTCGTCTGATGTCTCAATTATTCTTCTGGATTGCAGGACCGGGTAATTGTTATGTGCGCCAGGACGGCCATCCGCCACTTCCCCGTCGACGCTTGTGTCCCCTCGGTACGTCCCGGCGCCACTAATTTACGCAGATGGCTCGGCCACAACATGCACATGGGCGGATCTCTCATGTGCGCCCGGTAGACGTTGGATTCAAGGTCGGTATTGTCTCCGTTGGTGAGTTTACTGCCTGCTGCCTGTGTGTGTGTGTGTGTCGGATGCCACCCCTCCTTCCCTGCATGCTGTGCTTCCGCCCTAGCAATATATATAACCCCCTCCAGGACTCGCCGCCGTCTGTATAACGTATCCAAACTCTTTCTCAAAACGAGCTGAGTCTTCGCCGCTCTTCCGAACATGGCTGGCAATTGTGGTTCGGCATGTCCTGCGCCCGGAGGGTTCTATGCTTATCAGCCCAGCATCGGCGGAAACACCACATTCATCACAATATATGGGCTACTCGTTCTAGTCACTCTTTTCCTCGGACGGCGACATGGAACGGTGTGGTATTCTTCGCTTCTGACTGCGTCGCATCTGCTCCAAATAATCGCGTTTGTGGGCAGAATATTGCTCCATCGCGTCAGAGATTCGCAGCGGTACTTTCTGATATTCCTGCTGGGTACTCTGTTGGCACCACTGTTAGCTGCAAGCACCATTCTTTCAGCCTTGCCTTGCAAACTCGTCACCAGTGCGAAAATCAAATCTCCTCATGGCGGAATATCGGGTTTGTACCTCGGAATACAAGGCCTGATCACGGTGGTGGTTGGTCTGGAGGTGGCGGGTGCAGTCCTCGTTTGCTATGGCCAGAGGGTGTTGCAGGTAAGTGTCCCAGCTATATACCGGCATTTTTTTGTTCACTGCTAATCAATAAGGAAACAAAATCTACCATCATTATCATCACCGGGCTTGGCGTCCAGACATTCAGCCTGATCCTCATATTGGGCGTTTGTGTCGCGGCATTCTGTCACGGCAGCAAACGGGCCTACGGCCATCATACAAAAGCTGAGGATGATTCACTTCTAGCAAATCATCGCCGAGGTAAGTCAGTAACCACTTGCGACAGCGCGTGATACTTACTGTCGACAGGCTTGGAAGCAGCCAGCGTGGCCATCCTGCTCCATTCGGTATATCGGATCGTCGAGATGGCGATGGGCATATCTGGGATCTTGTTCCAGAGCGAGACGGCTTTCATGGTGGCTAATGGAGCATTACCGCTTGTATATTGCATGCTGTTGTCGATATTCCACCCGAAAAACGCCGCCAAGCGGCCGTCGACTTCGGCTTCACGCGCCGGCGAAAAACGCAGGCGACCGGCGCCGCTTACGCCAGAGGACAGCTACCCTGCGCATCATGGATACGCGCCAAATATTGCGCTGCAGCGCTCGCCCAGTTCGCAAAACAGCCACACTTCGAACCCTCCAGAAGTACCTTCGGGGTCGCCTGGGCTGCCCGCCAACCCACGACCGACACAAAAGTCAGCGCCTTCGCCCCCGGCAACGAATGTACACGGCAGTAAACCGACACCAATACTGGGCAGTGCCAGCCCTCAGAGGGTATGGAAAAGAGGGAAGGCACCACAAGAGATGGTGGAGACTGATAGCTTGTGGTAGCAGAGCTGCCAGCTGAATGATGATCGACTCGGCTCAGCTTAGGGGCATTATCTATATTCTGTATATATTTATTCTCTTCGATTAATTGGCAGCTTTAATGATTGAACGAAAATGTCAGAAGCTTCTTCTTTACACAAGGACCACATCGACTTGATCCCCTCAGTGCTTGCTTGCCTGTACATTTTTGAGGAGGCCATACAGGCTCTGCGTAGCGCATCAAAGCCTACGAGCACTGTTGGGCACAAGGGAATTTGGCAAGATGATGATGATGTATTCTCTAGCTGCTGAGTGGGTGGCTTATGGCCCTAAGTAGTGCTGTGCACGTGACAGGTCCGATTGATATATTACTACGTAGTAGGGCCTAAAAAACTTCCTAGATATAATATAAGTGTTCCTTAAAGCTAGTAGACCCTATAAAGATGTCGTTATAGTATAGTAAGCCCTTAGTTCGTCTTAGAATCTTATCTATATACTACTATATATAGATATTACTATTCTTATAGCCTATAATAAGCACCTAGAATATATATTAGCCTCTATATATAATAATTATAAATACCTATATTAAGTCTAGATATAGTTACTATTAATAGTAAAATACTATAGTATTAATAATAGTAATATATTTAGTATAGGCTAATTTATTTATAATAGTATCTTATTATTATATAGGGTATATATTATTTAAGGCCTATTTATTTAGAGGCCTTATATTTACTACTATATAACCTTTCTTCTTATTACCTTACCCTTACTAGATAATAAAGATAGGGAATATAAATAGTACTTATATATATATATATTCTAGCTTACTTTTAGTAATAAGATTATTAACTATTATCTAGATAATCTTCTATTCCTTAAAACCCTATAGGTATACCTTATAGTAATATAAAAGTATTTCTTCCTAGCCTAGCTTTAGGTATATATATATATATTCCTTTAGGGGTACTATAGTAAAGCCTTTATCCTTAAAAAGTACTATATAGTTTATAACTAGCCTATATAAAGCTATATTTTACTATTATAAGCTATTATAATAGATATTAATATTAATAAGATATATAATTATATCTATTTTAAGGGCTTCTAGTATTATAATAAACTTACTATTTTTTATTTTATTAACTACTATTAGCTTTATTATTAAGTTAACTTATTATAGTTTAATAGTATATACCTAGGCCTTTAGGTATAGGGAGTATAGCTACCTAAGCCTTATATATTTATATAGCTTTATATACTTTAGTAAGTTATTATATATTAATATATAGTATATATCTTACTATATTATAGTAAAGAAGGCTATAATACTAGGTATTATTTAAGGTTTATATATATATTATACTTATTTAATACCTTTAGTAGTACTATATTAGACTAATATTAATATAGTCTTTCTTAGTATTAAGATAATATATAAGTTAGCTTTAACTACTACTATATTATATTATACTTAAGCTTATATACTTATTAGTATACTTATATATTAGTAACTATATAAGATTACTTCTTACTATATAATTAATATATCTATTTATAATAGCCTTAATATATCTATATTAAATAGTATATTAGCTTTTAGCTTAGATATTATAGTTATATTAATTATTTAATATATTATAGCTAATATACTATCTTACTATATACTAAGAAGATATAGTAAAAAGTATATATACTTTATTACTATATACTAGGCTTACTTTATACTATATAGTTATACTAGCTATGCCTTTATAAGTAAGGTTAAGTTAAGATAGTTTTTAACTAGCTATCTCTTATTTACTAATATAATACTAAAGCTAGTATTAGTATATATATTATAGAGTATACCTAGTGTGTTTAGGTCTAGGTAGACCTAGAAGTATAGGTATAACTAGCTAGAACCTTATAGTATTTAAGTTATTAGGCTATATATAACTATTACTTAAATAATCTATAGAGATAGTTATAATCTAGGAGATATATTCTAGAAGATATAATATATAGCTAGTAATACTATATTATATTTAATATATATACTTATAGGAGGGTTATTATAGGGAATATTAAAGTAAATAAAATCTTAATTATTTAAGCTAGTAGTTATATTTAGATAAGTATTAAGAACTAGCCCTAGGGTATCTATAGATAGGCATTATAATAGTATTAACTCTTTTATAGAGTAAGAAAGGAGGAAAAGCTAGTCTATCTATCTACTATAGTATATAAAGGGGGCGTACTAAGGGCGCGCCTATAATAGCCTTAGGCTAAGTCTAGCTAGAGTAGGCTTAAGCCTAACTCCTTTATATACCCCCCCTCTCTAATAGTACCTTAGTTATATTAGCTATAATTACCTAAGCTAATATAGGCCTACTATACCTTACTTACTTAAGCTAGTATATATTTAATATATACCTTATACTTATACTAGGTTATTATTTAGGGTCTATACTCCTATAGCCTATATATATATTATTAAAGAATATTCTTATAATAACCTTAGTTTACTTACTTTTTACTATAACCCCTATACTTAGGAATTTCTTTTAAGTAGTCTATATATTATAATTACCCCTATTCTAGGTATAGCTATCTAGGTAGCTAGTATTTACTAGCCCTACTCTTACTCTATCTATAGCTAGTTATATTATATTTAGCTTCCTAGTACTATTAGTTATTACCTAGGTATAGTAAATTATCTTCCTATTATTACTAGGTAAGGTATATTATATATATACTATATTATTAATATATTTAAAATAAAGGGTATTTCTTAGCCTAGTTAGCTTTCTTTTCTATAAATAAATTCCTTACTCCTTTCTTTAACCTACTTTATTTTTTTATTTCTTATAACCTTTAATTAACTTTATACTCTTAAAATACTCCTCTTTAAACTATAAACAATTTTATAATAATATATAAATATAATAGTAATAACCTATAATATTAACTACTACTACTATACTATTACTACTATTACTACCTAGTAATAATAAGAGCCTAAAGGGGTATAAAAAGGGCTATTAAATAATTTATAGCTATACTTTATAAGGTAATTCTAATAATAAAAAGTATTAGTCTAATAATAAGCTAGACTTCTTATATATTATATATCTTTTATATTTATATTAAATAATAGTACTAAATTATATTATAAATACTAATAGTAGGTATACTACCTATACTATAAGCTATTAGTCTTATATTTAGAAGCCTATCTTATTTATAAATAGTCTTAACCTATATTAATATATATATACTTTAATAATACTTATTAATAGTAATAAAGCTATTATAATACTAATAACTAATATTATATATATTAAGGGGTATAAATATATAGTTCTAATAGCTATATAGGTATATACTTAAGACTATTTTACTAGTACTCTAGCTAATACCTATATAAACCTAACTAATACCTTACCCCTACCTAGTACCTTAAATACTATATTAGTTATTACTTTAGTTATTAACACTATAATAGTAATAGTACCTTAAGGCTATTATACTAATAGTAGCTTTAATAGCTTTACCTATATAGTATTAGGTTAAATTAATTAAAACTTTATTATACTTATAATAAATATATATACTTTCTCTTTAATTTACTATTTATATCTTAATAGGGAATAATATAAGCCTAAGCTATATATTAGAAGGCTATTAATAATATTATCTTAATAATATTATAATACTTAACTACTCTCTTAATACCTAACTATTAAGCTATTAAATACTATAACTTAAATTATAGCTACTCTTTATACTACTAGTCTAGTAGCTATTATTACTATTATTATAATAACTTATACTATTCTTATTTATACTATTATTACTCTTACTCCTATTTATACTTATACTACTACTATTCCCCCTCTTATTATTACTCTCCTTTACTTAATAATTACTTAATATTACCTATCTAGGTATATTTACCCCCTCCTTTACTACTACCTTATAACCTAGCTAATAATAATACTACCCTTACCTTTTCTAATCTAATAGTTATTATTAAAGATATTAATAATAATAATAAAGAGCTTTAAGAATTTATATTATAAATATAAATATATTATATTATCTTTTTTTCTTTACTTTATTACTATATAGTTATATTTTTAAAATAATATAATATTAGTATACCTTTAATCTTATATTTTTATATCTTTTCTTTTTTTTTCTTTTTTATTTTTATTATACTTAGCTAGTATATTATAGCCTTAATATAATACTAGTATACTTATAATTTATATTTTTAATATTATTTTTTTATTTTTATTAATAACCTTTAATAGCCTAAACTATATATATTAAAAGGCCTAATAAAGACCTAATAAAGCTATAAGTATAGAAGTATACTTCTTTTAGAATAAAATAATTATTACTTTCTATTATTTTATAAGTCCTTACTATTCTTAGTATAGTATCTAGCTCTATTTATATAAAGTATTATACCTTTATACTATACCTATTATAGCCTTAATTATTAGTTAGTAAACTATATTTATTTAGTCTTATAGAGATAGGCTATATATAGTTTATTATTATTTTAAATATTACCTTATTATTCTTTAAACCTTATAAGTATAATATTATTTTATAGTACCTTTAATAGTTCTTAGGTTAGGTTTTAATACCCTACCTATTTAATAAGTATCTTTTTTTTATAGCCTTATCCTAGTAGGTAATATATATATAAGATTTTCTTAATAGTATATTCTTAGATTAGCCTTAGGCTTAGCCTATCTTTAATTAGTATTAACTTAAAGGCTTAGTTACTTTATATTTAAGATAGGAGGGAATTATTTATAACTTATTTAATAAAGTTAATATAGAATATCTTATAAAGGTTCTTAGGTATATTAAAAGTTATTATTAATAGTATTAAGACTATTATTATTATATATTTTATTTAAACCTAATTAAGTTTTTTATTTAATTATATTATTATAATATTATATAAAGAAAGCTATACTTTATCTTTTTTTTAGAAGTATTCTATAAGGTACTAAGAG